CCTCCCCACCCTTCTGCCCTCATAACCCTCCATCACTGACTCACTCCCTCAATCTCTCCCCGTATCTTCTCCCCACCCTTCCACCCTCAAAACCCTCCGTCACTGACTCCCTCCCTCTGTCTCTCCACCAGGAGGCTCTGACTACAAGCGTGGCTCTGGAGCCAGTGTCCGGGGACGTCTGCACACCAAGCTGACAGGGACCAGAAGGATCAAACGAGAGCCGGACGCAAACCCAGGTACAGCACTCACTCACATCCAGGGAAATATTTCTGGCTTCTGTCATCTGACAACATTTCCTATCAAACATCTGTCGTCTGTGTATTTTTTCTCCCGCTTGTTTTTGGCACGCATATTATATGACCTAGTTGTGTTGCGAGTGCCGTAAAAAATGCTTACTAAAACAAACTCTAATCGTGGGTGGTTGGCGGGTGCTCTGGTGTGGTTTGCTTCTTCTTTCCTATCAAACATCGATCGTCCTTATCTCCCCTCCTTCTTTTTTATGTTTGTTACGCTCTTGTGACACCTTTAATCTTCGACTTTTATATGACTTTATTGTGTTGCAAGGACCGTAAAACCTCTACTAAAACTAAAACTCTTTCTTCGGCACTTACGTTACCTATTTGTGTTGCAAGTGCCGTAAAACTCTTACTAGAACTAGAACTAGAACTGAGTAGCGGTTATTATGTCGATGCGCCTGTGTTTACTCAAACTGTCTCTCCTCCCCCCCCCCCAGGCGGTGCGGAGGGTGCATCGAGCAGCGCGGGTGCGAGCGGGGATGCCACCATGAGTCACGTGACGGCCGACAACTCGTCCCTAGGCAGCGTGACCGTCTCGTCCATCTCTGCCGGCAGCCTCGACTCCAACGTGATCGCCGAGCTCTCGGGCCTGTCCAGCAGCGACCTGTCTGTGGTGTCCACGGAGAACGGCCAGCTGGTCATCTCGGTGTCGGGCGGGGAGGAGGGCAGCGGGCTGAGCGTGGACAGCATCAACCTGCCCACCAACATGCTCAGCGGGGAGCTCATGAACCAGATTGACATCAACCAGCTCAACGCCTACCTGCAGGTACGCTGGTGCCACGCCACGCCATGCCACACCACACCAAGCCATGCCACACTACACCACACCACGCCACACCACGCCACATCACACCACATAGATGTGTACACCTACACCACTCGGGGTATACAAACTCACTGACACAAACGTAAATTCTTATGCAAACACACCGGCAAAAATACACCAGCCCCGAACTCGCAGGTACATGAATGGCAAAGGAACCCCCAAGCCACGCACATACACAATGACATAAGACCTGTTCAAATAATTACCTAGATATGGATGCACATGCTTACCACAGGTACGTGCTCTCACACTCGTACATCATGTAGGGATTCTACTGTATATAATTCATTAATTTGGAAGCCTTCTATTGACACACAAAACACATTTTCTTATTTTGGTGTCTTGTATTTATTCACACACTAAACATATTTCATTATTTTGGAATCTGGGTATAGACACACACACACTTAACATATTTAATTATTTTGGAATCTGGGTATAGACACACACGCACTGAACATATTTCATTATTTTGGAGTCTGGAATAGACACACACGCACTGAACATTTTTCATTATTTTGGAGTCTGGAATAGACACACACGCACTGGACATATTTCATTATTTTGGAGTCTGGAATAGACACACACACACTAAACATATTTCATTATTTTGGAGTCTGGAATAGACACACACACACTAAACATATTTCATTATTTTGGAATCTGTGTATAGACACACACACACTGAACATATTTCATTATTTTGGAGTCTGGAATAGACACACACGCACTAAACATATTTCATTATTTTGGAGTCTGGAATAGACACACACACACTAAACATATTTCATTATTTTGGAGTCTGGAATAGACACACACACACTAAACATATTTTATTATTTTGGAATATGGGTATAGACACACACACACTAAACATATTTAATTATTTTGGAGTCTGGAATAGACACACACACACTAAACATATTTCATTATTTTGGAATCTGGGTATAGACACACACACATAAACATATTTCATTATTTTAATGTCATGTTTTTTTACCTTTTTGTCTGTGGTTGGCGGGTGCTCTGGTGTGGTTTGCTCCTTCTTTCCTATCAAATGACTATCGTCCTGATCTCTCTTCCTTCTTTTTTATGTTTGTTACTCTCTTGTAACACCTCTAATCTTCGGCACTTATATGACCTTATTGTGTTGCAAGTGCCGTAAAACTCTTATTTAAAAAAACCTTTTACCTTTTTCTCCTCATGTTCTCTTCAGGACCAGGGTTCTGGGAGTGAAATCTTGTCTGATCAGCCTCTGTTGCCTGTGCAACAACAACAGCAACAACAACAACAACAACAACAAATACTGACGATGGAGACAGACCCCGAGACAGTGGCGGCCCTTCAAGGACTGAACGCTCAGATCTGAGCCTCACGGCACAAGCTAGAGAGGCCCTACTAGACAGCCGCATTTCCCCCACCACCACCGCGCTGCCTCGGGGCCAGCTGTGTTCAGGAATTTTGACCCCTATGACCTCGTGAATCAGCTGCTTCTCCTGCCTCGGCGGTGGTCGCTAGAGTGTTCTTCCCCCATCCCGTTCAGCAGTTGTTGTAGTCGCTAGAGAACTCGAAGTTTTTTCCACCAATTAACGATGATCCGACAGCAACTTGTGCGCTGCTGGTATGGGGAGATCTGTAGCGAGTTCAAGGAATCGGTGTGGAGATTTTTTTTTGCAGCGAGTCACCAGCCTCATGAAGAAGAGTATACAGAGCTCGGACACACCTGGCTGCTCTACCGCCGCCACCACCACTTTTCCCACCGTGGCGCTCAGTCCAGTGGCTGGGAAGTCTCGTCTGTTTGTGGTGACTAGTCCTGTGGAGATCTGTGGATGTCATTGCCAGCGTTGTTGATGATGTCAGTTTTGGCTTGGCTAGGACAGAGGCAGAGACTTCTCGTGTGTTTGTGTGTGCAAAGACTTTTTACCCAGCACATGAGGTCTAACCTTTGACCCAGCACAACGGGAGGTCGAACTTTTTTCACTTGACACACGAGGTCTTGTTCTTGACAGGGCATCATCAGTTGAGGTCTGACCTTTGACTTTGAGCCGGCACAAAGTGAGGTTGAGATTTTTTTTCCTCTGTCCCTGGTGAGGAAAGTGACTTGGACTCTCTGTCTGAACGTGCATGCTGTGTTTGCTTCATGATTTTTAAAAATGATGACACGAGTCTGAGAGCGATGTGTGAACACGTGGTTTTGTGGATGGCTCCTCCTATTCATCGCCTCAGAGCTAGTTTGTCCGCAGTGTACTCGAGTAAAGAGTGCACGTTGAACAAAACAATTCTGAGGCGACGCGCTGTTGGTTTTTTAGGTTTTGTTTGGGTTTTTTTTTTTGTGGTGACGCCTCATTTGCCAGTTTGTGTGTGTGTGTGTGGATACCATGAGTGTGTGTGTGGCCAGGATGGGTCAAGTGTGTGAGGGTACGATGAGTATGTTGCCAACAGGTGGGTAGTGAGTGTGATGTTTTATCAGATAGCTGATGCTGTCTTGTGATGAGACGAATGTTGATGATTGAAGCTGAAGGAAGAGAAAGATTGTGAGTGCTTGAGAGAATTGAAATTCATGCTCAAAAAGGCTGAAGTAAGGAATACACCCTAAAATGGCTTTTATATTTTGATGCGTTATTCTGGCACAACTGTTGTTGGTGAAGTTAGGAAGCATAAATTCATGATTATTAAGTTGATGTCACGTCCCCAAAAATGTGTCTCATTTTTCTGTTTATAGTAAAATGCTATTGAGGGTTACTGAAAATCGTGGCTGTTGCAAGAAAAATGAGTAACTCGTGATGTTTTTACTCTCTCCATAAAACAAGGGTCAAATGAAGTTACTCAATTTTCTTGTGTCAGCAACAAAACCCGCTGCCCTTTGTACGGAGAGTTTTCTGTGCATAATAATATTCAGCACGTGCTTTAGCGTTCGTGCATGCATGCGTACATGGTCGCAGGGCCTTGCCTCGATGAGAACTGCCATCTATGTCATGTGACTGCCTTCTCCCTCCCTCTTTGTATTGTGTTGGTGTCGGTGTGCGCACCGCCTGCTTGTGGCTGGTACCTCTGTGTTCTGTTGTGACTCTCGCTGTTGTCCACTTGTCATGGGTCTTCTAGCTTAGTTTTTCTGCTTGTTCCGTGTCCTTTTCATGTGTGTGTTTGTGCCTCTGTGTATGTTTTCATCTAATATGTGTGTGTGCCTCTGCGTATGTTTATGCATTGTGTGTGTGCCTCTGTGTGTGTGTGTACCTCTGTGTATGTTTATGCATTGTGTGTGTGCCTCTGTGCACGTGTGTGCATGTGTTCGTGTGTGTACCTCTGTCTTTGTGTATGTGAGAGATTTATGATTTTGCTATAACAAATTTGGGGACTGACTGTTCTTTACCCCACAGGGGTTCTAACTGTAAATGTCCGCTGCTGATGTTCCGCTGTTATTATTAAACTTGTTATTTATGTGATTGATCAGTGCTCTTAAACTCCCAGGGTTGGCCGTTTCCCTGGATGTCTCATCACTCTTTGCTTGCTGGCTAGTTTGGCAGTTTAGAATAACCAGCTGTGGCGATTCTCTCTCCTCCCCCATGGGCTGAGACGTGGTGGTCAGTGGTATTCTGGAAACAAATGCCTTTATGTTCCAAGTACCAGGCACAGCTGGGCTTGGATCTGTGACAAAGTATATTACAGTATACCGGTACAGTATAATATATGGCCGCTGTCACAACTGTAACTCCACCAATTCTTTTTGGCCCATTGAAACTGGCTGGGTCAGGCGAGGAATGACTCATTTGCTTTGCGACAGCAACGTTATATAATAGGATATCCTGTGTGTTGTATTCAGAGGTGCCTTCAGTAAGCCGCCACAGGAGCAGACCACTCCAGCACTTAACACCTACGGGACTGGCCTCACACTTGACTTTCAGTTCCCCAGGACGGGACTATGCGGCGAGATGTGGGTTAATCTAACATGAATTATAACACAACTCCTAGTAAAGCCATAGTCATAAAACTTCATCAAACTGTTAAGAATATGTTTTCCTTTGCAATAACACATTTATTTTCTTTGAAAAAATATTTTGGTTGAGTCATTTAGGTGTAATCAATTGTGCAATGATAAGCTTTTGTACAACAGAGTCAGTTAGTAACAGGGATTTAAAGACTAGATCTAAATCTGCTTATAAAGTCAATTGCTCCTCAATCAATGATAAGTGGTTCAAGATCTATTTTTGATCACTTTGTTCTCTCAATTTTAAGACTCCCGATCGGAATAATCAAGGTCATTGTCCGGGTCAACACTGTCTATATCCATACAATGTTTCGTTGAGCGCCTAAGATATGGAGAAATAGCTTTTTAAACTCATTTTATCGCTTTCCACATTTAATTGCCAGAAATTGGAAGCAAAATATTTAAACAGAACCAATTGATTGGTTAATATACATGTTTGAGGAAACATTGAGAGGCCTTTGTTTAGATCTAGGTCATTTGGCTGGCGAGTATACCCATCTGTAGTCCTGGGGAAGCAGTTTGGCTTCGTGAGTATTCTCGTCCACTGTCCTGTAGGTGGTTAACTCCTACACACTATCAATGTCTGGATCAAAATCGGAGAAAACAGCAGAGAAAGATAACACCAGTTATAATTGTTGTAAAGCTTTGGCCTTGGTATTGTGATTTAACTCAATTTTACAAGGAGGATTTTTTATAACATGTATACATAAAAGTAAATGCTGACCAGAAAAATTTTTGGTTAATTTTCTGACAGTTCTAATACTGTGCCAATTCTCAATTCTGTATAAATCTTAATTGATTCGTTATTTATAAATTTTTAGAATAATTCCACATTGGGTGGTGGTCAACTAAATACAGCCTGGGTTTAGTGAGTTGACAGTCTCTTAGCATCCGGCTGGTGTTATATCAGGGTTTTTATTTTGGCATGTCTAGGAATGCCAACTTGATAATTTTCTAGGAGAAAGATTTTTCCAGATTAGCGACATACTTGCTATCCATCAATAAATCATTTGGCATGATGTTGAGATACTGTTTCCAATGCTTGCACATCCTTGATTTTTTTTGGTCTTGGTTAAGCTTGCAAGAAAACCAAAAAAATGTCTGGTGATCCCAAAGTGTCATTGTGTTGCACAAACATTCTTCTCTGGTATAATAACTTGGTGTCTGGTGAGACACATGTGTCATGTGCCTATGTCAGGGCCTGACTTTTGCAAGCAATATGCTGTGTTCACATTGAATACATTGCTCAACCCAGAATAGGTCAACGGTCATAATACGTGCCGAGCACTTGGTCGCCTCTCTACGTCCCTGGGATTGGAAGTGGAAAGTGTTACTTCCTACCCGGTACCAGTTGTTTTATTTTCACCCACCAGTTGTTTCGTTTTATTTTCACACATGCCAGTTGGATTGACTTTAGAACTTCAATGTAGAACCTGCTGTACTCGGCAAAATTAGAAACCAGTTGAGCCCCACACGGGCAGACTGCCTTGTCAAACGTGGGGCTGCTGTAGTGTAGATTTTGTGTACTGCAAGGCTGCCGGTCACTGTCTTGTATGCTCAGCTGTGGCTGGGTGCAGTGAAATGATAGGCTGAGGCCTGCCTGGTGCAAATGTGGTCTTGTTCAGCCATGATGTTACTGTGAGAAGTAAGTCTGTTGGTTGAATTTTAAATGCCCATATCAGCGTTACTAGGTTATTTAACCCTATCCGTACGTCGTGTTTAACTATCGTATCCATATGACGTGGGGAACTCTGTGCCACCACTTTCCAAAGAGGAAATTTACTCGTTAATCCGATCCATACGCTTTGCATAGTAGTCTGTCAAAAAATTTTTTTGAGTAATAGTAATACTGAAAGTGTCAAAGAGATCTTCGCACTAGAAGTATTCTAAAAAGTGAAGAATACAACCCCGGGGGTACATAATGAGCCCAGGGCGTACGGATAGGGTTAAGAGGCAGGGTCTCGGAATTAATAAAGGTCCATCCCTGATAGGACGGAAGCGAATGAGTGAGGAGCTTTGAAAACTCTGTGAGAATTGTGAGGGCAGCCAAGTGCTCAGCAAGGACATTTCTTCTCCACCTAGATTGTTTTTTACCCCTGTGACTGATTTGTTTGTTTGAGTGGAACAGATGACCTTATTTGTTTGTTTGAGTGGAACAGATGACCTTATTTGTTTGTTTGAGTGGAACAGATGACCTTATTTGTTTGTTGGAATGGAACAGATGACCTTATTTGTTTGTTGGAATGGAACAGATGACTTTATTTGTTTGTTTGAGTGGAACAGATGACCTCATTTGTTCACTTTTAAGCACAAGGGGGCTATCTGGAAAAAATGCTGTTTTGAGAAAATCGTAGGTAAAGTTTTTGGACCCTTGTTCAGTTTCTTTAAAAGACAAGGAGAGTTTTCTCTCTATATATAACCAAACAATTAATCACACAAATGATACCAAACTTCTCCTATAGGTAGGGCAATGCCTACTTTTGGTGTAGGTCAAGATTTCTGGAAACCCCCAAAATCTGGGTTGGCCCACTTGTCCTTAGAAGCGACCATTTGTTTGTTGGAGTGTTGCGTGGTCCCATCTCAGGCCCTCCCTAGTGATCTTTTCTGTTGTTTTATACATGGCCATGTTATCTGGCCTCTCTCTGACAATGTTTGATACTGCCGCTAGCATCTGCTTCTGTTTCCTTAATTTTGTAAAACTGATAAATTGTTAGCAGTTTATGAAACGTTTTTTTTTAAAGTTCATTAACTTTTTATTTGCATGCTTGGACCTGTGATCAAACTGATTATTTGTCAGTGGATTTGGAAAGTTTTTTTTAAAGTTCACTAACTTTTTATTTGCATGCTAAGACTTAAAGCCTAAACAGATCATGTTGCTCTTCACGAAAACAAAATGTGAAGGTGTTGTTGAATTTCAGTTTGTCCAGCATGAAATCTTTGTTGCCTGATAAATGTATAACAAGTTGATTCTTCCTGTTGTCAGTATGACCAGAAAAACACAAACAAACGACTCCAAGAGCTAGTGTACCACATACACACACACGTACACCACACTCTTACACATGCACACATGATACTCTCACACACACACACACACACACTCTCACACATGCACACACACACACACACACACACACACACACACACACAATCCCCCCCCCCAACCCCAAAAGTTTAGGGACAGTGTAGTAGTTGTATGTGGTGGGGCGTGTCCCCCCATTCTGTCAGTTACCCCCGTCACTTCATGTTGTGCTACAGAATCTGTCCGTGTACACAATGTACATAACAATTAACAATTTCCAAGTGACCATGTTTCATATAGACACACATCTCATTGTTACTGTCATAAATATCATATTATGTCAAATAAAAGATGAAACTTAATTCTAGTTCAGGTCTTTGGTGGTTTTTATTAGTCGTTTTTTTTTAGCTGATGTAGGCAATGAAAAAAAGCGGGTGATTGGAGTGTGGAGGCGGCCAATGGTAGGTCCTACGTCTACAAAACAAACTAACTAGCAATGAAAAATGTGTTTAAGCTGCGGTTTCTGTGGTTTCTGCGGTTTCTGTGGTTTCTGTGGCGTAATGGTCAGGTTTTTTGCTATTGCACACTGAAAATGTGGGTTCGATTTTTACAAAGTAAAGAAGTTATTTTTTCCCGTATTGCTCTCTATCTGCGGGGATATTGCATCCCACTGTTCCTGGGCTGGGCCCGCCAGGCAGGTACAAAGCATCCTACCTCCTAAATGATCTGAATGATGTTGGAGGCAGCACAGGTCGTTAACCCATTTTAACCATTTTACACGGCAATGCGGCTAGCTGGGGTGCGTTGTAGCCAGGCCAGACAGTTTCTTAGAATGCTTCAACAGTAATCTACCATTGTGTTGGTGTTCCATCGGTCTTGATACTTTTCTTTGTAATTGTAAAGTCTATAGGAAATCTTCCAAACTTGAACAGTGGGTGATGAGGAAAGCATAAGATTGGCCTACGTGTAATATGTTTCTTGAGAGCACCCACACGGAGAAATGATCGGCGATGTCTGTTTCAGGTCTAGCTCTTCATGCACGAAGATGACATTATGGTATATTTTCATATATATGTCTGTACGGCTGTTCTATTTGGTGAGTGCATATGGAGGGAAAGAAATAATATATGCGTGTGTGCCTAAAGAAAGGTACCAAAAGTAGGATTTTGACCATTTTGAGTTGACTAAGGTTTGTACCTGATAGGACATTCAAAGCTGAACACAGTGGTATTTTTAATTTTTGAGATATCTCAAGTAAAGTAGTTTATGAGATATTGCACATTTTGTGAGGTAGGGTATAAAAATCTAATTTTGAGAAATTTAGCTTTTAAATTTAGAACACATACAAACTTGGGGGGGGGGAAAAAACAATTTGGTCAAAAAAGTGATTTTTTTGTCATTGTCAGCCTGTAGCTCAAAATGGTCTGCGGCAACTTTTGGTACAGCTTTGTTTAGGCACACACACATATTTGTGAGGCATCGCGGTGAAATCAGGCGCTGGTCAAAATAATTAATTTGAAGAAACAGGTAGGCTATGTTTCCTCATTTGACCAATTTTGTAAATGTTTATTTCTTGACTCAACACCTTATTATTATTATATATCATGTCAATATAAAAACATTTCACTGTGAATTTTACTGGAAAATGATTAATAGCACAAAATGTAAATTTGTCAATGCATCGTGGTGAAATCATGCTCTCGTCAAAATAATGAAATCCGAGAAATCTGCATTTATTTTTCTGCCAGTTTGGACATTTTTTTTCTAATTTTTGTTTTTTGGCTCACCACCCTGTATGACCATTGGAAAACACTTTTTTTGTGTGAATCTTATGGAAAAACCTTGATTAAAGGCACAACAAATTTAAATTTGCATTTTCCAAGGACTCTTAAACTATGGAAGTCACCAAACTCACAAGTAAATATCGACGTACTGGGAAGGTTAATAGCTTAAAAAGATTGAAACACATGTTCTGTTTTCTTCAATATAAGATGCAATTAATTTTTATTGGCACATTAGTTTGGTGTTCCTCTTGTCACCACCCACACAAACATACTCTAAACACATCTTCTCTACCATAAGCATAGACGGACACATATTACTAGGCAGTTCAGTGAAAAATTCAAAGTTGTTAGATTTTAATGAAAATAGGCTCAAATGAAAGGTCCTCCTGCCACACTGATCACAGTGCTTTTTTAATTTTGTCAATATCTGAAATTTGTTGAGAAGTTATGGGATTTTTTCTACTTTATTTTTCGCTCATAATCTGGTCCTTTTTTACACGGCATTTTGCGACTAAAGGAGGACAAAAATCGATAAAAATGCACATAGCTTCGCAACCTGTAAAGATTTTTCCTGTTTTTAGCATCAAATCAAAGGTTATTATGTGTACTTTCATATGAAACAAACAGAAACAGTTTAGTCTCATAAATCACTTGTAGATTAAGAGCGGGGTAAATTTTCATGTGTCCGAAAAAGGATGAATTTGAAAATAAGCAATGATATTTCAACAAGGAATAGTCGGAAAGGCATGTACCATGTATCATTTTGATCGTCTTATTCAACACATTTTTAAAAGAGAATATAAGAAGAGGAAAACAAAATTTCAAACTGCACCAGACTTTAGAAAAGGAGAAAAGAACAAACTGAGGTAAAAATCAGGCATGAAAAAAATATTTGATTGAAAATCACATAAGAGGCCTACTAGATCGTAGATGCTATTCCTAGTAATTTTCATTATGACCAGACAGTTGTGTGAACATAAAACAAAAATAATGATGAACATTTTGAGGAAAAAGGGAAAGAATTTTCTAAAGATAAATCAACTACGAGTATAAGTGATGAAGACTATAAATGACAAATAAATCATAAGGCAGAGACTTGGGCCTACGAAACTTGAGAAAAAAACTAGCATATAAAATCGAAGACTAAAACTAAGAATGAAGACTTTAGTAAGAGCTAACTGCACAATATACATGATACATAATATGTGCAACTGTGGGCCAAAAGAATAAAAATTATTTTTTTGTCTCTAGAAAATCTCTAGAATCTATTTTTTTTAAATCTTAGCCTCAAACTCAAAATCACTGTGCACAGACCTTGTCAGAAGAAACTAAGTGTTAAACTAAAACATAATATTTGTGAACAGATATATCATGGGAATGCTCCAATCATCTCCTGCTCAGTAAAAATTAAAAATATTTTATAGAAAAAAACCAAACAACTAGGACTAGGAAGGCGAAAAGTGCGATGCGGCAAAGACCCCGAACTAAAGGTGGGAAAAATACGGAAAACATATCCGGATAACTGGATAATTCTCAATGAAACATCCGAATTCAGACTCTTAACTCTCTTTCCTGACTCATTTGCCGAAGTGGGAGCACACATTAGTGTTGAAGTGATGCTAACCCATCCATTTGCTGAAGCAGTTCATAACATTTGGCTTTGCCGAAGAGGTGCACTAACATGTTATCCGGATTGTGCTAAAGCGACTCATTGCCCAGCCCTACCCCGAACGCACTGTCGACTCCGCGAAGCAACACGGCCAATGCTGCCTCTATAGAAAAATAACTTTCGCTATCAAGTGTGCTGGCTCTAGTCGCCGTTAGACAGGGCTAAATACAGCCATTCTAGGCTTATTTTAAAGATAAAGAAAGTTTCTAACTGCCAGAAAAGTTACAAAACTGCCAGGCAAGTGGGGAAAAATATATCAAACGTTGAAACTTGGCTTAAATTCAAATCAAAATATCTCTGGCTCTACTAGTCGGATCTGCCAAAGGAAGACGCCATTTTGTAGATGATTTAAAAATCTACAAAAACATGTATCGGAAGTAGTGGTTATCACTATTTAACTAAACAAATTCACGATTTTCTGAGGTCACCAAATAGCCGACACAATATATGATATAAATGATATTAATAATAATAATAGTTCATCCGTCCATGTCCAACAATGACCAATGCATCCGCATAGGAGAATATTTCTCAAGCAAAAAAAGTAGAATGAGAAGAATTTTGCGGTTAACCCTATCTGTACGTCGTGTTTTACGGCTCATCTATGATTAGTTTGTAAACTGGTCTGTGATTGGTTGGTCAGCCAGTCTGTGATTTGTCAAAGAGTTTGTGACTGGTTGGTAGGCTACTCCGTAATAGTACTGATAGGTTTGTCAGCTGGTCTGTGATAGGATGGCTGATCTGTGATTGGTTGGGCGGACGGTCTACGATAGTTTGGTAGGCCCGTCTGTGATTCGTCAGAGAGTCTGTGATTGGTGGACGGGTGAGAGAAGCTGTATGTGGCCGCCCATGGCGATCGAGCGACCAGGAGGGCACCCAGGATCCAGACGGGACAAGGTCGCCTGTCAACGAGAATGGTGAGAATATTATAATTATGATATAATTGTTATTTATATATATATATATATATATATATATATATATATATATAAATAAAATTGATTTTAAATTGTGGGTGGTTGGCAGGTGCTCTGGTGTGGTTTGCTTCTTCTTTCCTATCAAACATCTATCGTCTTTATCCCCCTCTTTCTTTTTTGTGTTAGTTACTCTCTTGTAACACCTCTTGACTTTTTATAGGAAAGAAGGAGCAAATCCACACCAGATCACCCGCCAACCACCCACAGTGCCTAACTGCTACACCACAGAGGTTGGAAACGTGCGCAGAGAAATCCCAGCAGGAGCAGGCGTACACAGAAGCTGAAAACACAGACGAGGTACAAACCAAACTGAAAACAACAGCTCACTCACTCTACTTACTGCCTGTGCCACGTATGGTTTACATGCGGTTAGGCATTTTGCCACAGCACACGGAAGACCACAGAGTTCGATTCATTCGGGGTGGTTTGGGGGGGGGGGGGGGATTCTCTTTGAGTATCTTGGTCCAGCTGCTGGGACATTGTATCCCTCTCAGCCTCAGTCTGAGTTGACCCTGACAGGCACGATCAAAGCCCGCCTCATAAATGGTCGCTTTTAAGCACAAGGGGGCTATCCCAAAAAATGCTGCTTTGAGAAAATCGAAGATAAAGTTTTTGCCCCTTGTTCAGTTTCTTTAAAGGATAAGGAGAGTTTTCTCTACTATAACCAAGCAAATATACACACCAATGAAACCAAAGTTCTCCTATAGGTAGGACAAAGCCCACTTTTGGTATAGGTCAAGATTTCTGGGACCACCCAAAATCTGGGTTAGCCCGCTGGTCCTTAAAAGCGACCAAATTATCTAAATTGTGTCAATGGGGACAAAATATTCCTTCGTTTCAGAAAAAAAAGAAAAAAATGGAGGCTATGTTTTATTGGCATAAACTGTGTTCCAAGCCAAAACTTTTCTTATGTAGTTGTTCAGTTTTAGTAAAAGTTTTACGGCACTTGCAACACAATAAGGTCATATACGTGCAGAAGATTAGAGGTGTTACAAGAGAGTAACAAACATTTTAAAAAAGAAGAGATCAGGACGATAGATGTTCGAGATGTTCGATAGAAAAGAAGTTGGATTTCAGTGAAAGTTTGCAACAACAGCAATATCATCACAACAAAAACATCACCATTGATGTCAACAGCAACACATTCAACAACTGAAACATCATCAACAACAACAAAATCGTCAATATCAATGACAAAAACAGCAACATCATCATCACCACCAACAGCAACAAAAACATTACCACCAACAGCAACAACATCATCATCATCACCACCACCAACAACAACAACATTATCATCATTGCCACCGACAACAAAAAAACAACAACATCATCATCACCAACAACATCATGACAACCAACAACAACATCACCAACAACATCACCAACAACAACATCATCACCATTGTCACCGACAACAAAAAACAAAAGCAACAACAACACAACAACAAGAACAAAAACAACAACAACAACAAAAACAACAACATCAGCAACAACAAAACAGCAACACCACCAACAACACCAATACCAACAACAGCAAGTAACGGAGCCGCCCCGCGAGCTTACCCTGGGAGCCTTGTGTCCTCCGGCCATGTAGGCCAGGCACATGCTGGCCGTGGAGTGGATCCAAGCCAGCTCAGCTGGGGACACAGTCACGGAGTCATAGAGTCACGGAGTCATAGAGTCACGGAGTCATAGAGTCACACACACAGAGTCACAGAGTCATACACACAGAGTCATAGAGTCACACACACAGATTCACAGAGTAATACAGACATTGAGTCACACAGTCATAGAGTCACAGAGTCATACACACAGAGTCATAGAGAGATAGAGTGACAGAGTCATAGAGTGACAGAGTAATAGAGAGATAGAGTGACAGAGTCATAGAGTGACAGAGTAATAGAGAGATAGAGTGACAGAGTCATAGTCATAGAGTCACAGAGAGAGTCACAGAGTCATAGAGAGATAGAGTGACAGAGTCATAGAGAGATAGAGTGACAGAGTCATAGAGAGATAGAGTCATAGAGTCATAGAGTGACAGAGTCAGAGAGTGACAGAGTCATCGAGTCACAGAGTCATACACACAGAGTCACAGAGTCACAGAGTCTTAGAGCCACAGAGTCACGGAATCACAAAGTCATACACACAGAGGCACAGAGTCACAGAGAGAGTCACAGAGTCATACACACAGAGTCATACACACAGAGTGACAGAGTCATAGAGTGACAGAGTCATAGAGTCACAGAGTCATACACACAGAGTGACAGAGTCATAGAGTGACAGAGTCATAGAGTGACAGAGTCACAGAGTCACAGAGAGAGTCATGGAGTCAGACACACAGCAGAGTCACAGAGTCATAGAGTGACAGAGTCAGTGAGTCACACAGTTATACAGAGACACACAATCTGTGAATCACAAAGTCATACATTATCAAAGAGTCACAGAGTTCTACAAACATTGAGTCACACAGTCACATAGACATTGAGTCACAGACTCACACGGACATAAAGTCACAGAATCACAAAGAGCCAAAGAGTTATAAAGTCACAGAATCACAAAGAGCCATAGAGTCATAAGTGAGACGGACAGACAAAACAAAAGAGGAATAGCAAAGAAGTAGGACCTTCCAGTGACACCTCTCTCTCTCTCTCTCTCTCTCTCTCTCTCTCTCTCTCTCTCTCTCTCTCTCTCTCTCTTCTGGCGCTGTGGCTTCATAAACGGTCAGCGATGCCGACAGCACGCAGGAACTCAACACTCACCCGGGGGTCCTTAAAAAGTGCTGAAAGTGGGTTTCTGAAATGTCCCAGCAGTGACACCTCCCAACCACCAATTCATAAGGCACATGAGCTCACCCAGACAAACAAAGATAACAGATTACCTTCTTTTTTTAGTTTTTAGTGGAGGTTTTACGGCACTCGCAACAGCATACAGTCATATGAGCGCCAGAAGATTAGAGGTGTTACAAGAGAGTAACAAACATAAAAAAGAAGAAGGGGAGATAAGGACGATAGATGTTTGATAGGAAAGAAGAAGCAAACCACACCAGAGCACCCGCCAACCACCCACAGAATACCTTCTCGCCCCGGGTCCGACTTGAGTAATCTCAGTACGAGGGCACCTCCGTACTTGACAGGAGTTGAGGACAAAAATTCTGAGCCTGGCGACGATGAGTATGAAAAAGAAATGAGAAAAAGAAGTAACAAATAAGTACCAAATATCACAGGATAAGACGATATATTGTCGCCATCACAAGCAATACTGACAAACAAGTCAAAATTCTACCTGCTTTGACCTGCCTGTCAGGGTCAACCTGAACTGTGCAAGATAATAATAATAATAATAAATAATAAATAGCTTTTGTATAGCGCATATCCCCGCTCAACAGCAGGCTCTATGCGTTTAACACTATATTATTACCCCAGCAGACCATAGAACACTCCGAAACATTCTAAGCTTCCCGGGAAGCATACAGTGCAAGCAGCTGATTAAGCGCTCAAACACTAACAAACGGACAAGATCTTTCGCTGTCTATAGCCAGGTACCCATTCCCACCGGGGTGAAGTGAGGAAAATTTGTGTAAAGTGCCTTTCCCAAGGACACAACGTCAGGTCCCTGATGGGATTCGAACCCACGACCTTACGGTTGTGAGTTCGAGAGCCTAACCACTAGGCCACCGACGCCACAGATACACCATCTTAGCAGAAAGAAATAGATATTCAATCAAATAACTTCCCCACATGATAGGAATCAAATTCTAGTCTTCTGCATGCAATGGTGAAGAGCCTAACAGGCTACCAATTAAACCACAGATGCCGATTGAGATTCATGAAATGTCATACTATAGTCAGTCATCATCATCATCATCAAGTGCCAGGTCTGTGACAGACATCAGCAATCATGGCTCCCCATTGATTCCTTTGCTCAGATGCTATCAAAAAAGCAATATATTGTCCTGATTTTTCCCCATCACCAATCTGTATAGGTTTTCCAAGTAAGTTGTCCGTGCATTAACCCTATCCGTACGCCCTGGGGTCATTTTGTGCCCTCGGGGTTGTATTCTTCACATTTTAGAATACTTTTAGTACGAAGGTCTCTCTGAAACTTTCAGTATTTCTCAAAAAAACATTTTGACAGACTGCTATGCAAAGCGTACAGATCGGATTAACGAGTAAACATCCTCTTTGGAAGTGTCGGCACAGCGTTCCCCACGTTGTATGGATATGATAGTAAAACACAACGTACGGATAGGGTTTAAAAAAGAAGATCGAAAAAAAAAAGTGTGGGCATGGGCCTGCATATCTGCTACGCGGTTACATCAATCGAGAAACAACACAGACCTAGGAAGTCCTCCCTGAAGACAGAAGTGAGAGCGTGCGTCATGTCCTGGGAGCAGCGCGTCGCGTTACAGCACGTCTTGGCTAGAACCGTTTGGATAAGGTGCTCACCGCAGCCTGATGATGGAGTGGGTGGGAGGTGGGGGGGTGGTGTGAAGTAATTGTGACGAGGGGAGGGGGAGGTCAGGGAGGAGGGAGGACAGAGGGAGCAGGTTGGGAAGAAAATAGTTTTTAGTTGTAGTGTTTTACGGCACTTGCAACACAAAAAGGCCATATAAGTGCCAAAGATTAGAGGTGTTACAAGAGAGTAACAAACACAAAAAAGGAGGGGAGATATGAAGACGATAGACGTTTGAAGAGGGAGGGGGAAGTGAGAGTTAAGGGAAAGAGGAGGAAAGGGTAAGAATTGGAGGAAGAGGAGAAAGGGAGATGGGGAGTGGGAGTTTAGGGAAATGTGGAGGAATGGAGGAAAGGAAGTGAAGAAGCATGAAAAAATGAAAAACATCAGAATCACAGGCACAAACAGACAGTGTAGGGTGAACAAACTCATGTGAGCACTGTAAAACGCTTGACAAACAAAATTCTCCCATCCCCACCCCTCCCGCCAACCTCTTACTCCTCTCTCGCCCCCTTCACTCTCTACTTAACACTCCTCCCCAGTTTCTCCCTCGCTCTCCTTTCTCCCCTCTGCGCCCCCCTCCCCCCAACATTCCTGAAGTAAGACAAGTGATGCCCGGCCTGTCCCCAGAGATCTTGTTCTGCCCCACCCCCCCTTCCCAACGAGGTACCTAAAACTTGGCCTGTATCCTCCCCCCCCCTCAACGTACCTGAAGTGACACAAGCGATGCCCGGCCTGTCCCCAGAGATCTGGTTCTGAGCCCAGCAGCCACTGCCGTAGATCGCAGCCTGAGGGAACGGAGAAACACACAGAACTCTACAACGTTGCTCAGGCTTAGCTTAGTTCAGGCAGTTTTACGGCGCTTACTACATAAATAGTTCACATAAGTGCAAAAGATTAGAAGAGTTAGTTTTAGTAACAGTTTTACGGCACTTGCAACACAATAAGGTCATATAGGGGCCGAAGATTAGAGGTGTTACAAGAGAGTAACAAACACAAAAAAGAAGGAGGAGAGATTAGAACGATATATGTTTGAAAGAAAAGAAGGAGCAAACCACACCAGAGCACCCGCCAACCACCCACCTGGCTACACAAATAGGTCACATAAGTGCAAAAGATGAGAGGAGTTACTACTGGGGTGTAACATATAAAGATGAGAAAGAGGAAAGATTAGGACAATAGATGATGAATAGGAATGAAGGAGCAAACCACATCAGAGCACCCGCCGGCCACCCGCTTGCTATGCCTGTTTGTCTGTTGGGGTAAAGAGAAGCACATCGAGACAATAATGGGTCATTTAGTGCAGGGCAAGAGCGATACAGACACTCGAACATTTTCACTTGACACACTGTAACCATTACAGCTTCACATCAAATTGTCAAATAGATTGTCTTTTTGTGTTTTAGTAATGAGTTTTACAGCACTTTCAACACAGTTAGGCTCATACAAGTGCCGAAGATTAGAGGTCTAACAAGAAACTGAAATGGTTTAACGCCCCTATCAACACTATTAGGTTATTTAAGGGGCGGGACCTCCTAGTTTAACGTCCGTCGCCGATAGGACCGAGCCAAGTGGGAAGTTCGTGTAAAGTGCCTTTCCCAAGGACACAACGTCGGACCACTGGGCTCGAACCCCCGAACGCGCAATCTCACGATTACGAGTCCGGTAGCTTAACCAGTAGGCTATCGACGCCACTTTACAAGAAACTAACAAACACACAAAAAAGGAGGAGAGATTTAATAAAGATGGTTGATATTTGTTAGGAAAGAAGGAGCAAACCATACCAGAGCACCCGCCAACCACCCACATACAGTATCTGCTGGGATGATGGAGTACTCCGCTCAACCTGAGTATTTATAGCCAGGGAAAGGTGCAATAAGAGAATATTGTAAAACTAAGCGTGAAAAACATTCATTACAACAACAACAAATAAACAAAAACAAAAACAATAAAACAAAAAAGAAATATGTGAGGAATCTTGGTCGACGCTCGTCAAAATAATGTAATTAAAGATACTGGCATTTTACAGAATGTTTGACAAAAAGGATCAAGACTGGTTTTTTTTGCTCAACATCTTTTATTTCCAATTAAAAACTAATTTCTGTGCTGATTTTTCTGAAAAATGTTGTTCAAAGGCACAAAAAAGTAAATGTTCAGTTTCCAAGGACACTCAAGCTTTGGAAGTCACAAAACTTTAGCAGCCATTTTTTCAGCTAATTTTACCTCTGAAAACAGGCGACCCTCACCACCTCCAATCGCAAACACATCCACTTCTATTCAAGGTGAATCAATGGGTACTTTTTTCATCAAAAGACAGACAAATGAACAAGCTTTAAGCTGATACCAATAACTCTACATGCCTAACATTTGACGAGCGCCGGATTCCATCACGCCGAGACACATATAATCACCAAAAAAACAAAAAAGAAATCGACAATCAAAACAAAACAAAACTACATTTGAAAAAAAAAACCCGACTCACAGGTCCCAGACGTCCCGGGTGTTTGAGCCAGATCCCCCCACTGGAGGAAGCAGACGCCACATTGCCCTCGTGGTCCACACACACCGCCCCGACCGTGTCCTGTACTCCGCCGATCTCCGCAGCAATGTCCTCCTGTACACCGCCGATCTCCGCAGCAATGTCCTCCTGTACACCGCCAATCTCACCCCGCCCCTCCTCAATGTACTCCTGTACTCTGCCGGTCTCACCTCCTCCCTCATCAATGTCCTCCGGTACATCGCCAGTCTCCGCAGCAATGTCCTCCTGTACTCCGCCGGTAACACCCCGCCGCTCACCCCCACCCATGTTTTCTGGTACATCATCACGGGCGCCGTCCTGTCCAAGGTCAAGGTTTCTTGAGTCTGTCAATGGTCCCGACGTCTGGAAAAAATAACAAACAATAATTTCACCCGCAGGCCCGCATAAATGTGGCACAGGTGGTATAGAGGATAGGCTGTCAGGTTTGTCACCGAAAGGTCATAAGTTTGACCCCCATCATTGGCCCTCCATTGTATCCTTAGGAAAGGACCTATACACAAATTTTCCTCCCTCACCCAGGTGGAAATACGTTCCCGGCTACAGACAGCACGAGATCTTGTCAGTATGTTAGTGTCTTAGCATCTGTAGAATGATAGCTTGCATTGTACGTTCCCCAGGAAGATAAGATAGTGTCAGAAAGCTATCAGGTCTGTTGGGGTAGGACAGTAAAAACAGCTTTACAACACCCACAGCTTGTTTAATTTAGGAATGGGATAAAGAGCAAGAAAAATGCTACCTGGTAGGTTGGTTTTTTTTCAAATCCTTATGCATTGGGAACAAATATGTAGCGAGTGCAAACCAAACTCTTTTTAAGTTGTAGTAAGCGTTTTACGGCACTTGCGACACGATAAGGTCATATAAGTGCCGAAGATTAGAGGTGTTACAAGAGAGTAACAAACACAAAAAAAGAAGGAGGAGGGATCAGGACGATAGATGTTTTTTAGGAAAGAAGGAGCAAACCACACCAGAGCACCCACCAACCACCCATTCATTGGGGATTGGAACCAGGGTCAACCACCCTGCAGTCCAGTACAACATCAACTCAGATATCAGCATGCCCTAGCCCATACAGGTAAAAGAAATGTTAAACAAAGATCACATTCATGTCAGGCTCTTACAACATTTAAAAAAGTAATTTTTAGATTTTTTAACATAAAAAAAGATATACAAATGTGCTTTGGGGGGAAAGGAGGCTCATATATATATTGGAAATGATAAACGTTTGAGTAAAAAGAAGCACATTGACACGACAACTGCCATGCAGTGCAGAAAAAAGGCGAGGCAGAAATGGCAATGGGAAAGAAAAGAAGTACGACCTACCAGTGGCGCCCTGCAATCCCCTGCACCTTACTGTGTGTTACAGCCTTTCATTTTGTACTATAAATTACATCCTTCAGCACTGCAAGACACACAGGGCCCTGAGACAGGAAACGTGGCAAACCCCACTGACTCTACAAGAGAAGCTATATGGGCCGACAGATGAACTTAGCAGGCCGGCCCAATTTATGACAGATACCAGACTTCAAATGTGATGCGATCGAGAAGAAGAAAAAGTACTATAAATTGTATCAGGCAAACAGCACATTACTTTTTCCACAAAATAGAGAGTGTTATTGAAAATCCATTGTCAGCAATCCTTTATCATTAGAACTGGACAGCTAGTTGTTTGGGATACAGTAACGCAGACCAACACTATCATGACAGTCTTGCTCTAGGAAAACTGAGAACAAAAGCTCAAATAAAGCACCAATAAAAATCAGAAAAAGATGCTGGCAGAAATCCAATCAAGACAAACACACGAATTTCGAGGGCAACAAAAACATCAAGCCAACAAAAATGGGACCGACAGTTCTTAGAACAAAGCAACCAGTACCACTGTAAACTCGTCTACTCTAAATGAGCACTGGGACAGAATGGAAAGGAACAACGAGAAAGAGACACGCAGTACTAACAGCACTGTCTTGAGATACAACATCTTCATTTCCCAGTCTCCGTGTTTTGGGACTTTTCAGGGAAGATAACTCCGCTCTCTGGCACTTCCTCTTGTACCGATTGTATGTCTTGAGGGCACTTCCTGTGAGAAAAGATGGTTAAATTTAGACGACTCAGAAAACACAACGCTTCAGCTATGAGTGCACCAGAAAAACAAAAAGCAGATTACCCATAGCAATACCTACGCAAGTGGGGTAGGGGGTTCAGTCAAGATATTGTTTGTTTTAGTAGAGGTTTTATGGCGCTCACAACTGCATAAGGTCATATGAGCGCCAAGGGGTGGATGTCAACAGAGAAGTCCTCACAGGGTATCAGACTTACTCTGCTCACCTCTCTAGCTTCAACAGCACAAAAGTCTGCTTCGACTATCAAGGCACCCCGGAAATAGCGGGTAACAAGAGTGTGACAAACATTCAAAAGAAGTAGAGGAAAAATGACGACAGTAAGGATTAGGAAAGAAAAAGCAGCAGTTCCCTGTTGTAGCGCAGGCACAGTTATGAGCATGACATTGTTGGATCAGCCCATTTACAATTCTACTGTGCATTAGAATGAGAAACGTCCCCACTTTGGGAATGGCCTAAAGACACTACAGTCAGTGGCACCGCCCCGGAGGCTGTGAGTCTAGATATGCCCATCAACACAAGCACAGCCATTTGGTACAGGAATACAGTAAGACAGACAGAAAATACATTCGAAGGGGACAGCAAGAAAGCAGAAGCTGCACAACAACTTTTTTTCTTGACCAAACAGAAGAAATTCAACAGAAAACAATATTATAGAGTACAACACAAAGAAAAAAGGGGGCTCTAGTTGTAGAGAGGTCAGTGAACTTTTGTTATATTTTTTTTATTAAAGCGTTTTACGGCACTTGCAATACAATAAGGCCATATAAGTGCCAAAGATTAGAGGTGTTACAAGAGAGTAACAAACACGAAAAAGAAGGAGGGGAGATAAAGATGATGGATGTTTGATAGGAAAGAAGAAGCCAACCACATCAGAGCACCCGCCAACCACCCACAGTGAACTTTTGACTCACAAATAATGTCTGGCAATCTCGGTGATATGACCTTAGGTGGGTGGTCATTGAAATGAGTTCTTCAGAAAGATATTTTACCCTCTCTCAAAAACAGGGATGACCAGCAATGGCAAACGGCAAGTCGATGAAGCCACTGAATTATTTTTCAAGTATGCATTGTACTTGGCAGTCGTAACACAAATTTCCCCCTCTGATTAAAAATTCATAACAAAGCGTTGGGCAATGAGTGACCATGCCTGTCCGCCTGAGGCAGGTAAATTTGACAGCGGGTTGATAAAATAAGGTGACCGCAGCCGTGTTGGACAAGTGACCATTTTACTCGGTTAAATTATACAGAAAAAAAGCAAGGGGGGAAATGGAAAGTGGCAGTTTGTACAGGTGGCCGTCATGGCAGGTTCGACTGTCTCTGTACAGTTAACCCTTCCAGCCCCATGCACGTATATTTTCAGCAGGGCTTGTACCTCCCACTGTCCCAAAAGGGCGTAAATTCTCAGTTTCGGGGGGTACCGAATTAGCGCATTTTTCAAAATTAACGGACCTAATTAAATTTTAATTTTCATGATATTTGTTCATTTACCTTTAAACATTGCTATATGTTATTATCAAAACCCCATTACAAAGACACTACATCACTTTTTAGAATGCATGCCCCTTTTTCTGAAATACTGCCGTATTGGCTGGTGCTGGGGTTAGGGAGTGCACAAAAATGGAAAATGGCCGGGACTGGAAGGGTTAAAGTGGTGTAAAACTCATACAGTTAACTCAACCAGATCGGCTGTCTTTGAGCTGTCAGTGAGACAGAGGTACAGGTACAAGACAATAACCTGAGACAAGATCTGCCTTGACGGAAAATCCCTGCTCCTCACAGTAGCTCCTGGCGCCAGCTCCCACCAGAATGCTGCAACAAAAACAGAAATAACACACAGGAACCTCAGCAATCGCAGTCAGACGATACGCTTCAACATACCTCTATTGCCCCACAAGTAAAGTATTCAGAATAAACTTTTTTATGGCTACACATTAACAAAGACTTGACTGAAATTCAGATAGCGCTCATATGACCTTATGCAGTTGCGAGCGCCGTAAAACCCTATACTAAAAGGAAAAGGAAAGGACAGATAAAGATATTCAAATTGAAAAGGATCACGGACAACATCTCATACAATTATGGCTCTGGCAAAAAAGGCAGGACAAAGAACAACTTATTTAAAGAACTTGAACAGACGGGTCACAGGCAAAGACCAGGGTAATATAGGTAGATTTTTTTTAAACATCCGCTCAAAAAAATTGAGTGGTGAATCATGACTACTGATGTCTGCTTCAGATCTGGCACTTCACGATGATGATAAGTGTATACTGCACACACTCACAAACACAAAGCACACATAAGCCCACCCTCCGTCTCTACTTTTAAAATAATAGTCAAAAATCTCTCTTGTACAGGTCTATATACGTCAAGTTGTTCCATCTGTCCTTAAAAACCCACAACCAGCTTCGCAGTTGCATGCAAGAGACCCGAGTTAAATTCCTGAGTCAGGAGACACTTTTTTCTAGTATCTCAGTCTTTCTGCTGGGAAGTTGTATCCCCCCTCAGCCTGGGTTGGCCTTGACAGGCAGGGTCAGCAGCCCGCTTCCCACATGATCTGAATGTCACTGGAAGTGTAAAAACACTTACATTCAAAATGTTTATTTCTTAACCCTATCCATACGTCCTGGGGTCATTTTGTACCCCAGGGGTTGTATTCTTCACATTTTAGAATACTTCTAGTACGAAAATCTCTTTGAAACTTTCAGTACATCTCAAAAAATCATTTTGACAGACTGCTATGCAAAGCGTACGGATTGGATTAACGAGTAAATTTCCTCTTTGTAAAGTTGTGGCGCAGAGTTCCCCATGGCATATGGATACGGTAGTAAAACACGACGTACAGTTAGGGTTAAAACCCGGCTAATGAGCAGAATAGCTTCCTTCTGATATAATAACATCGCTACACCACAATAAAAATGAGTAATGCAAGGTCAAACTGAGTTACTCATTTTTCTTGTAACGGCCACAATATCCTGCAGTGGCTCCCACTCTTGATCCCTTCCGAGCTGAGCCAAATGAAGAATCAATAGACCGAATTAGCTACCTCAGTCGCACAGAGCTGCCTACCCTATCTCGGTCTAACAGAGTTGCCTACCTTGGCCGAACGCGCCCACAGGGGAGAGCACCCAGCTGCTGCTCCTCCACCAGCCGGCGAGCGACAGAGACGGGATTAGCCACACCTGGAACACAGAGACTTCCTGGTTATACACATAGTGGAACAGTGTGTGTGTGTGTGTGTGTATGTGTGAGTGTGTGTGTGTGAGTGTGTGTGTGTGTGGGTGTGCATAAATATATATTGCATGAGAAGAAAAGAAGTAGTAAGAAAGGTTTTGAAAATGGGTATTCCAGTGTAAAGCGCATTGAGCTACTTTTTTGGAAATGCACTATATAAATGTTATATATTATTATTATTATTATTATTATTACAGAGATACAAATGGAGGAGAAGACTTGCTGAAAAAAAAAAGCTACCTCCAACAACTGGTGTCATTCGTCAGCATATGACACAGAGCTTACTAATTCCTTGTGCAATTACGTATTACACACAGATTCAGCTCAACCTCTATTTTTTTTTAATAGTAGAGGGTTTTACGGCGCTCGCAACTGCATAAGGTCATATGAGCGCCAAGGGGTGGGTGTCAACAGAGAAGTCTTTACAGGGAATCAAAACTTAGACTGCTCACCTCTCTAGCTTCAACAGCACAAGGTCTGCTTTGACTATCAAGGCACCCCGGAAATAGCAGGTCACAAGAGAGAGACACACATACAATAGAAGTAGAGGAAAATGACAATAGTAAGGATTAGGAAAGAAAAAGCAGCAGCTCCCTGTTGCAGATCAGGCATAGTTATGAGCATGCCATGAGTCAGCCCATTTACAATTCTACTATGCTTGAACGAGCAATGTCCCCCCTTTGGGAATGGCCTAAAGACACTTCAGTCAGTGCCACTGCCCCGGGGGGTAGCTCAACCTCTGCAAAGTGTGTCCTCACAAAAAAAATCCAGTGTTCTCGGCGTTAAAGAACTGCAACTATTTTCTATCATCGAACAGAAAACAGCTTTGAAGAGACAAGAGGGTAAAATGTCAGAACGCTAGAAACAAAGAAACAGCACACTGTGGGTGGTTGGCGGGTGCTCTGGTGTGCTTTGCTCCTACTTTCCCATCAAACATCTATCATCCTGATCTCTCCACCTTCTTTTTTATGTTTGTTACTCTCTTGTAACACCTCTAATCTTCGGCACTTGACCTTACTGTGTTGCAAGTGCCGTAAAACTCTTCATCATCATCATCCGATGCCTTGCTGACTGGCGTGGGCGATCATGGACCTCCACTTCACTCTGTCTTGCTTTGTAGCAATTGTGTCTGTTGTTCTTGCTGCTCCTAGCCATATTGTCATCTCGTCCAGTATCTTTTCCCTCTGTCTGCCTCTGCCTCTCTTTCCATCAAACTTGCCTGTTGTTACAATATTCTCCAATGCTTCTTTCCGCATTGTGTGTCCGAAGAAATTTGCCCTTCGCTTTCTTATATTCGTCATAAGCTGTCTTCTGCAATTTGCTTCAACCAGGACTTCTTCATTTGTTTTTCTAGCTGTCCATGGGATACGCAGCATGTGTCTTATGAACCACAACTCTGTCGCCACAATTGTTCTTTCCAGCTGTTTATTGATTTCCATGCTCCGCACCCATATAATAGGATTGGCTCGATGTGATTTTTCTGTACTCTTTTTCTCGTTTCCAGAGACAGATTGATGTTTGTGAGTATCTGTTTCACTTTGTGGAAGGTTGCTTTTGCTTGGCAAATACGGCTTTTAATTTCCGTGTGACATCTCCCATTTGATGATATAATGGCCCCCAAATATTAAAAATGTTGTACTTGCTTGAGGATGGTATCACTGATTTTGATATTGCATGTTGGGGTTGGAGTTTTTCTGCTTATCACAATTGTTTCGGTTTTCTTGATATTCAGGCTTAAGCCCATGTTGTACGATGACATTTAATAGATTCTGCAGGTGTGCTTCATCTTCTGCTATTAGGACTGTGTCATCTGCATATCTTAGATTGTTTATATATTATGTCCCCCTATCGAGATACCTGGCATTTCTTCTATGTGTCTCATGATATTTTCACTATACAGGGAGAACAAGTCTAGAGAAAGTACACATCCCTTTCTATTCTCATTGCAGCAGTTTGATCCCAGTATATGTTCTTGATAATCCTTAAGTCCTTCCCATCAACATTGAGGACTTCCAGCATGTCGATGATCTTGTCGTACCTAACTTTGTCGAATGCCTTGGTGTAGTCTATAAAACATAAATGAAGATCTTTCTGAAAACTTTTACTAAAACTTTTTAAAATAGCATACTGATACTACAAATGAAAGAATGGGTAAAAAAACGCCTACATCAACTAGTCCCACCTGAGAGTGCTCCCACTGCTCCAAACAAGAGTGACTTCCCATCCATGACGCAAGCATCACACTCTACAGTTCCATGATACGTCAGGTTCGAACCCTGGCCAGCATTCGTACAACTGTCATCCTAGTGATGAGAAAGTTTTGAGGACATTTCATATGACAACTCAGACATTCAGTTCGAGGACAATAAGTTTCTGAAATTCATGTTTTTAAAAAGCAATTATAACTTCTCAACAGTCAGCCGGATATCAAGAAAAATCAGAACAATTTTAGGAAACCAGATTTCTTTATTTATCCGGAAATTAATCACCTCCGATCAATTGGGGCCGGGGGAGGAGACTTGGGAGATTTTTCGCTTTGTGGGTTTTAAAAAAATATATATATATCTCTTGGGGTGGGGATGTTGAGGGAAATGACTAACGTCAAAGCTCCGTAAATATCTACCTCTAGGACAGCCACCGCAGCAGTAACAGCCTCCAGGGCTGAAGCTTTCGCCCGTAATAATAGCATGGCCTGGAGGAAAAATAACAAAACGACAGTCACTTCAACAATGTGAAAAATGCAGAACAAAAACTCAGCGATTAAAAAAAAGAACAAAAACTCAGCGATCAAAAAAGGAACAACAAGCTCATTCCATTTCCGGGAGAGTAGTGCTGCTTGACACCTGAAAAAATCTCCTCTTTTCCCATTTTGTTCTTCAAAACAAACTGCGACTACGACTTAATCTCTGTTGGTTCTGCCTGGGCAGGTCTGAAGGGGCTGTCACAGCTTTGACACTCTCCGGACAACATTTGCATTGGGTCATGTCTAAAACTGACAAATTTCAACGAATGAGAAAAGTTCAAGAAAGAGATAACTCATGATGAAGTCATCCATCATGTACCAGTCACCCATGTAAAATCATACATGTAAGACTTGAAGAACTTGCTCAAGGAAGTTCACTGTCACTGAAACAACAGTAGTTTGTCATTAATGATAACAGCATAAAGTTAACACCCTTTCCAACAGTGTAAGATAATTTTAGAAGCAAGATCTCAAAATCTTATTATATTATATCTATATCTGATACGACCAAGTCAAATGGGTGGAGAGACATGAAAACTCCCCAAACAACCTACGCCCTAGAACGTCCCAAACACAACAGGCGATTCAAACCAAGGCCACCAGCACCATAGCCCAGTATGAAACCTATTACTGAGCTTACCCAACACTTTCATAGATGATCATGACTAAAAAGTAGAAAAAAAATAAGCACATCATGTTGCTCTGTGAGACCAGAATAACATTTTAGTTGGGAAGTTGGGAATGGCCGATGAACAGCTTGTCTCACGGCTTTACAGTAAGTGACTTCAGAGAGCATGGCATAGCCAAAGCTGATGACGAGACACTTCAAGAGAAACTCTTCTCTAAAATTTGCAAGTCTTCTGAAGTGCATGCAGAGAATATTGTACATCTATATCTCAAGACAAACCGCCTTCAGGCTTGTTGTAAACTATTTTGAGACTTCTTTCATGGTGAAGAATCTACTCACACTTGTTGGAACACCCAGTAACGTTTTCATTAAACACACAGACTGGAAAGTCTGTCTCATATCATGTCAAGTTTTGTATAGAATCTGCTGACAGAATGCTTTACATTAATGTTCATATCGCATGGCTCCTAGAATAAAAAATCCTACCTGTTGGCATGCTCGCTTACACACAGACTTGTACACAAGGTCATTGGATTCAGAATGACTTCCGGCTCCTGCAGAAGACAAAGATGAGAAACCTTGACTACAACTGAGAACAGCTCTCCTTTTCAAATTCAAATGCCCTCTAGATAAATATTTTATATATACTAATGTACAAGGTGTCCCAGAAGTTGCGCAAAATCCTGAAAACCCTCTTCATACACACGCAAATTGTTGACCATTTGAAGGAAGCACTAAGTACGGAATACTAAAAAATCAAGGTTGAAACACTTGAGTTTGTGAAAAACAGCTTTCTTGAGAGAGTAAATGATTCTTAGATTCTGGTCTATTGCTGAGGGAGCTCAATGCAGGCATTTATTAAAGACTAATTCAAGCTATGTTTGATGAAAACCAGGATGGTGTGCGACAAAAAGTAATTGTTTCGAACCAGAATAATCGGTGGAGCCAAAACCCGATTAGCCCCTGAAGTGCAGAGAGTGGGATAGATATATTTATTCAACATCAATAACGGGAGGAATTCTGTTGAGGGTCGGCATTTACCGAGACACGATCCACTGAGCAAACTGTAAGGGTTAGGGACATGATGCGGCTAAACATAGAACGACACACCTGCCTGATTGGCGGCTAATTTTAGTAATGTGATGTCATCACATCCTGAGATACCCACAGACTATTTTAGAAAGCCGTGGAGATACCAAAGATTGTGTAGTACAGTCAAAGATTCTTAGTGTGGAGAATCTTCGGTACAGTAAAGAATCTATAGAGATTCCTCTTGGAACGACATGTTGGGTCAGTGGTTTGACATATTATCCGTATCGATGTGTTTCAAACGGTCTGTCAGCCATGCTCTACTGATTGGTTACAAGGTTACCGGTATGTTAATAACATTTCGGAATTCTGGTAGTGATGTTTGAAATTGAAACAAAGTAAACGCAAAGACAAAAAAAGCGCGCAAAAATTGCCGCAAAGATGCCGGAAGATTACCCCCTCCCCTCCCCCGGGCGCGATAAACAATGCGCAGAAGAGATAAGGAGAAGCATAATCGGAGCATCGCATCATAGATAGGCCTATATCCCATTACCGTTATTCCTGGAAAAACATCGCACCAAAGCGTCGGGCCATCAAAGATTCTTTACACAATCTTTGGTGCCATGTGGTTGCCTATTTAGATGTAGTCCCGTGATCTGAGGGGTATCTCGGTCTGATGTCACACAAGATGGCCGTCTTAGCAAAAAATGTTTGCGTCGTTCCACATTTAGTCGCATGTGGGTTAGGGTTAGGGTAAGATCTAGATCTCTAGGGGTCGTTGGATGGCCAGCCCTCTGCGGAACTCCTTCCTCAAAAATTATTAACTTGCACCACTACACTGTCAGCTCTTAGTCTACCGTTAGTCTAGAGTCTAGATCTAGAATCTAGATCTAGGCCTACTCTTGAAAGTGAAAGTGTTGAGTAAGCCACTTAGTAAGAGTGTAAAAAGAGATCAGAATTTAAAATGCAGTGTCTACGTACACAGTAGCCGGGCACCTAGTCTCAGCATCTACGTACACGGTAACCGGGCACCTAGTCTCAGTATCTACGTACACGGTAACCAGAATGAAAATAAATCAATATTTGTCCTGTGCTGTCACTTTCTGAAAAAAAAGAAGGGAGGACTTCCGTAACGAGCGACCACTATGAGACAGAGCAAAATTGAGGGCTTGGGGTAGGGGTAAGGGTAGGGTTAGGGTTAGGGTTAGGGGTAGGGGTATGGGGTAGGGTTAGGGGTAGGGGTAGGGGTAGGGGTAGGGGTAGGGTTAGGGTTAGGTCTAGGCCTCTTCTTTATTGTGTTTGATGGGGTGGTCGCTCGTTACGGAAGTCCTTCCAAAAAGAAAGTTATAACAAGCGTCTTGTCGGGCTCGCCATCGTGACCAGTCAGTGAACCTGTGCGGGTGCATCACATTGTGAGTACCGGTTGGGGGTAACCAAAGTTCATTCAAAGTCTGTGAGCTGCGAAGTATCTAAGGGCTCCATAAAGGGGGGATTATTGATTTTTTTAAAGGTACAGTCGGGGGAGGGGTGGGGATGAAGGCAACACTGGATGACAAAAACTGAACTTGGAGTTCTGGACTGCCCAGGTAGGTACTGTGTACACATGACACTGAGACTACATTGATTGGTTGCCGGTTACCGCGTGTGTACGTAGATATTGAGGCTACATGCCCGTAGATATTGAGGCTACATGCCCGGATACCGTGTACATGACAGAGACTACGTGCACGGTTGACGGTTACCGTGTACGTAGACACTGAGGCTAGGTGCCCGGTTACCGTGTACGTAGACACTCCGATTTAAAATGCAATCATCTCACCTGCATGCACGGCGATGAAAACATTGTTGATGTCAAAAGATGTTTCTGTCATGATTTCAGATATATACTAGATGTAGATTTATCTGAATATCCAAAGCACTTTAAGTTCTAGCAGATCAAAGTTCTCGCCTAACAGCGATTATTCATTGAAACCAAAGATTATAAATTAATAGCCAAGTGAAGAGTCCAGTGTCCAGAAACTTTAATACCAAACTCAGCCAAACTAACTGTTTCATTCCATAGTAAAGCAGTCCACTTGAGTCCACTTGTGAAACTGAAATAAATGAAGTTTTCTAGAGTACGTTCCCTTGGCTTCTCGCTTATAATAATAGAAAAAAGATGTCTTAGGGTTTAGCGTTTTTTGCAAACATTTATTCTATAAAGGGGATTGAATGTATATTATTCTTCAATTACTTATTATATGCACTTGATAAAGTGAATTCTTTGGAAGAAAGGTCATAATTCATTGCGAGTTTTTAAAAAATCTAGATCTAGTTAAAGCTATAAGAGGCAAGATGGCAGCCTCCTGTCTAGCAGAAGGAATCTAATTTGACCATGACCGTGACCTGCAACTGAAGTGTTAGATTCTAGGGCAGTTAGATCTATGCTTTTTTTGTAAAGACATTACAACATAATATTATAGAGGGCACTTGATGTAAGTTGTGCTGTTAGATCATCTCTAGATTTAGATCAAATATCTAGATTCTAGATCTAGACATCTACATTCTAGATCTAGATCTAGATGTATATATATCTAGAATATAGATCTAGACTGAAAAATCGCTGGACTGGAGAGAGGAGGGGGGCGCAGCTTTACTTTCACAAACAAACAAGCTGCAAACATCTAGATAGTCTAGCCTAGTCTAGAATCTAGATTCTAGACCTAGCTCTAGTAATAGCCTGTTGACTTTCATCTGACCTCGGTTTAAAACAGATAAAATCAAGATTCTAGATGAATCTTAAACGTGAAGATTATATGTAGGTTTTTTTACTAGATCTAGATCTAGATTTCTAGATCTATGTCTAGATCTATATTATTTTTGCCCAGGGGGGGGGGGGGGGGCAAGCCGGTGAACTGATTTTTTATTTAGTTTAGTTTACACTGAAATCTCGTGTGTATTCAAAACGAGACAATGTGTGACGTATCAAGAAGGGGAAATAATTGGGATATTAAAGAATCGTTCTTTCAACATTCGCAACATAGTTCATTCCCATTTTTACATCAGACACAAATATTGCAGACTGCATGTATAATGTTTAGTTAGGCCTACAATGCGTGAATGCTGTAGAACGCTAAATAGGCGCTCTAAGAACTTTTAACGCACTTGTTCAACGAATCACTAAAGAAAAGTCTCTTTGAATGGCTGATTCTGATGTCAACCATGCATTTACAGAGTTGCAATAGATCATGACAGGCAGTCGAAAGTGGTCGCTTGGAAAGCCACGTGGCTGAGCGCTTTTCCTGATCACCAAACAGTTTCCTCTTATCTGTTCCCAACATTTCATGGTGCATTCAGTACAGGAAGTCCCGTCTTTTTGCTCCCCCCACCCCACCCACCCACCCATTCAATGCCTGTATTGTATTCATATATATTCATTACCACAGTCGAACTCTTCACAAAACATTCACCTTATGTTATCGTCTTAAGTTACCCCCACCCCCAAGGGAAGTCATTAAATTATCAAATAAACGAGATGATTGTGTCCCTCGCTCCCTTTGCACTGGCTCATGTAAAAACCCGCTAAGGATCTGTCCCGAGCACCGTGCAGTTAGGCGGAGACTGCTGTACTTTTCTTTGATTATAATATTCATTGCTCCACATTCATTTCTTTTCAAAATTGTTCTTTTCAGTGGTTTGAGTTTCGTCCCTCTGATGGGCAAACGCACCCCGTGAAGGCATGGCACGTTATAGCCGAGTCCAGAAACAAGTGTTGAGCTTATATAAACAGTTTATGATCGTGACAAAGGACCAGCCCAGCTTCAAAGAGTACATTCAACGAGAATTCCGCAAAAATGCTGTTCTGCCCCGGACAGATTCCATCAAGATTGAGTACCTTCTCCGAAGGGGCTGGCGGCAGCTGGAGATGTTGAAGACAAGCTCTGTGTCTAGTGCAGGTGTTTTTGAGAAGGATACAAACCAACAACGTACTGAGAAGAAAGAGTAGTGGGGTAGTGTTCTTTTCCTGAGGAGAAGCCAGCATCACATTGGAACTGTGACTGAGAAGTGATTAAAAAGTTGTATTGAAGATGGCTTCAGTACATCGAATTTGCTCTATGAGAGGGCATCTTTACACATTTTCTTTCATAAGATATATTCGTGGACAGTTCATGTCACAAAGTGGAGGAAGTCATTCAGAGACTGCATCACAGTGGAAGTCATTTACTTCTTGTGTGACCGGGAGGTCAACTTTATCTCTGGAGTGTGGTAGTGTGTCGCAACTTCGCGTTTCTTCTATCAGACGCCTTGCCAGTGTGCCTGACCTGGCGGTAACTGTAGAAACAGAAAAAAAGTCTCAAGAAGCGAACATATTATTTTCCTCCTCACAGGCTCTGGTAGAGGAGAACCCTCAGCGGAGCCTCTACCGCGACATTGTCCATGAATTCCCAGATGGGATCCAGATGGCTTTTGCATATGGCTCTGGAGCAATACAGCAGGGTAACGCCAATGACAAGTCGAAAAACATGCTAGACTTTATCTTTGTTGTGGACAAACCTCGACGATGGCACAGGATCAACCTGGAGAGACATCCGCATCACTACTCGTTTCTGAAGCACTTTGGCCCTCGGACCATCACCCGAATTCAAGAAAGGTTGGTGCTATTCCTACATCAAAGTAGTATGTGTTGTGTTTACAATGTTACAATTTGTGTTCCTGTCATTGTACATTAAAGCTGCTGCATGCTTAGTATGCCACTGTGTGACAGTTGCTTATTTGTAAGTATATATATGTAAGTATAAATATATATATTTGCATGAAGCATATGATTATGACACGTACATATTGCTAATGGTAACGCAGAAACTTGAGAAATACGTCATCATGTCTTTCTTCTTCTTCCTTGAGGTACGGAGCCGGTGCCTACTTCAACACGCTGGTTCCCATGGCCGGACGCACCATCAAGTACGGGGTCATCAGCACGGCCCGCCTCGTCACCGACCTCCTGGACTGGGAGTCCCTCTACATCAGCGGACGTCTGCACAAGCCCGTCAGTTTTGTGGTCATCCCGAGTGACGAGAACCTTCTGACGGCGCTCACGGTGAGAAAAACTGGTGTGATTGGTGACTGTCCCCACGATTTAATGCAAAAAAAAATTCTGAAGTTATGTAAACTGAGGCTAAAATGTGAAATTATGCGATTCTGTTAATTTTAACCAAGAATGATAAAGGAAAATAATAAGAATTTATGCTAAACATGATCAAATTTTGCTTTAAAATTATGCGAGGTGCATAAAACCCCGGGGACAAACTGGCGAGCTCACATTTTCTGCCTCCTTCTCTTTCTGGTTTCTAATTATCTAGTTTTTCATTACTTCATGTTTGTCTTTTGGTGGGTTGTTTGGGTTTTTTTGTTTTTTTTGGGTGTACTTGTCTTTTTATTGTTGCTGTTGGCTTCAACCGTTTAGTCATTCTCGCTAAAGATCAAAACAAGTTTTCTCTGTTGGTCATAAAAGCTACCTAGTGTCCTCGATGGTGACACTTTTAAGGTTCCCCAAGAAGCTGTTTCTCCAATTTTTGTGGACTGTTTACTCATTTTGTTGTTTGTCAGTGATCTTACTTCACTTTCTAAGTGTATGTAATCATTATAATAATAAATAGAATTTGTATAGCACATATCCCTGCTTGACAGCAAGCTCTATGCGCTTTACACTGTATTATTACCCCAGCAGACCGTAGAACACTCAGAAACATTCTCAGCTTCCCGGGAAGCATACAGTGCAAGCAGCTGATTAAGCGCTCAAACACTAACAAACTGTGACAAGATCTATCTCTGTCTATAGCTGGGTACCCATTCCCACCTGGGTGAAGTGAGGAAAATTCGTGTAAAGTGCCTTTCCCAAGGATGCAACGTCGGGCCCCTGATGAGATCCAAGCCCACGACCTTACTGTTGCGAGTCTGAGAGCCTAACCGCTTTCTTTGCTGGTGTTTGGGGGGAGCAGGGGGGGGGGATGCCAATGGTAGGTTCGTCTTTGCTGTTCCTCTGTTTTATCTGCTTTCCCATCTTGCTTAGTGGGCGGTTGGCAGGTACTCTAGTGTGGTTTGCTCCTTCTTTCCTATCAAACATCTATCATCCTGATCTCTCCTCCTTCTGTTTTATGTTTGTTACTCTCTTGTAACACCTCTAATCTTCAGCACTTATATGATTTTATTGTGTTGCAAGTGCCATAAAACTCTTCCTAAACTAAAACTAAACATCTTGCTTACTGTAAATGTGCTTCTCGTCACCGAAAAACTAAGAACCAAGTATTTTTCAGTGAAAAAAATACGTTTTTCGGATGTTTTTCTGCAAGAAATGGTTGGCTATAGACATAGTTCCCTCCGAACCACCTTATAGAAAACAGACAGTAAAAGAAAAAGCAAAATGTTTGGTCGGGAGAAAGTTTGTGTTTACGGCTTACGGACCAAACGCTTGATCACACCTTTCATGATGTGTTTTGTTTTGCCGCATCCCGTCTCTCTGTTTTGTTTTCCCATCTCACAATACTCAACTATCTCTATGTTTAACCCCCAACATAATACACATACTTACCTGTCTCTAAGTTGTGCCCTTCTGACAAAACTCACCATACATAAGCCTACTTTTCATTGTTGTGTTTTGATCTCTCCTCCTTTTTTATATTTGTTACTCTCTTGTAACACCTCTAATCTTCGGCACGTATATGACCATATTGTGTTGCAAGTGCCGTAAAACTCTTACTGAAACTAAAGCACAAACTTACCTGTCTTTGTGTTGTGTTCTGCTGTCGGATATGTTGGACCAAATACATTCTTACCTGTCTCTGCAAATTGTAGGAGGGATCCATAGGTGGGTTAGATTTCTTTTCTTTCCCTCTGTTATTTGGTCACCTTTAAGGACAAGTGGGCTAAGCCAGATAATTTCAGGAGGTTTCCAGAAATCTTGACCTACACCGAAAGTGAGCATTGCCCTACCTCTAGAAGAAGTATGGTTTCATTGGTGTGTATATTTGCTTGGTTATAGAGAAAACTCTCCTTGTTTTTTTAAAGAAACTGAACAAGGGGTAAAAACTTTACCTTCGATTTTCTCCAAACAGCATTTTTTGGGATAGCTCCCTTGTGCCTAAAAGCGACCATTTCTGTCTATCTCTGTCTTCCTACATGTATTTCTCGGCCCTAAATGACCATGACTGTTTTGTTATGTTGCTGTTTACCTAAACAAACCAAGCCAAAGCAGCCCCCCCGTCCCCCGGGAAGTGCCACTGACTGAAGTGTCTTTAAACAAAGGGTGGATTTTTTAACATGCACAGTAGAATTGTAAATGGGCTGTTATCAATGTCACATTCATACTGTGCTGGAACAACATAGGGGGAACTGCTGCTTTTTATTCCCTCATCCCTACTATCGTCATTAATTTTTTCTTCTACTTCTTTTGTATGTTTGTCACTGTCTTGTGGACTGCTCTTTCCGGGGTGCCTTGATAGTGGAAGCTGACCTTGTGCTGTTGAGGCTAGAGAGGTGAGCAGAGTAAGCCGGATTCCCCGTTTAGACTACTCTGTTGACATCCACCCCTTGGCGCTCATATGACCTTATGCAGTTGCGAGCGCCATAAAACCCTACTAGTGGGTGGTTGGCGGGTGCTCTGGTGTGGTTTGCTTCTTCTTTCCAATCAGACATCTGTCGTCTTTATCTCCCCTTCTTCTTTTTTATGTTTGTTACTCTCTTGTAACAGCTCTTAATCTTCTGGCGCTCATATGACCTTATGCTTTTACAAACATCTCTTCTCTCTGTGCCTTCAAAGCAACAAACATCACTCGACTCTGTCTCTTCAAAGCAACAAACATCAGTTGTCTCTGTGCCTTCAAAGCAGCAAACATCACTCGACTCTGTCTCTTCAAAGCAACAAACATCAGTTGTCTCTGTCTCTTCAAAGCAACAAACATCTCTTCTCTCTGTCTCTGTCTCTTCAAAGCAACAAACATCTCTTCTCTCTGTCTCTGTCTCTTCAAAGCAACAAACATCTCTTCTCTCTGTGCCTTCAAAGCAGCAAACATCACTTGACTCTGTCTCTGTCTCTTCAAAGCAATAAACATCAGTTGTCTCTGTTTCTGTCTCTTCAAAGCAACAAACATCTCTTCTCTCTGTGCCTTCAAAGCAACAAACATCACTTGACTCTGTTTCTGTCTCTTCAAAGCAGCAAACATCAGTTGTCTCTGTGCCTTCAAAGCAACAAACATCAGTTGACTCTGTTTCTGTCTCTTCAAAGCAACAAACATCACTCGTCTCTGCCTCTGTGCCTTCAAAGCAAAAAACATCACTCGTCTTTGTGCTGTGTTCCCAGGTGAACCTGCGTAGTGCCGTCCACGCAGCCCTGCTCCTGCTGCCAGATATGTTCACTGAGGAGCAGCTCTATTTGACCATTGCCAAGTTGTCTTATGCCGGAGACTTCCGGATGGCTGTGGCGGAGGATAACAACAAAGTAAGGACAGAAGCGTCACTCACTGACTTACTTGTTGATTGATGACATGATTGTCAGATGTTTCAAAGACTTCACTTGTTGATTGATGACATGATTGTCAGATGTTTCAAAAACCCCACTTGTTGATTGATGACATGATTGTCCGATGTTTCAAAGACTTTTCTTGTTGATTGATGACATGATTGTCAGATGTTTCAAAGACTTCCCTTATTGATTGATGACATGATTGTCAGATGTTTCAAAGACTTCCCTTATTGATTGATGACATGATTGTCAGATGTTTCAAAGACTTCACTTGTTGATTGATGACGTGATTGTCAGATGTTTCAAAGACTTTACTTGTTGATTGACATGATTATTAAATGCTTTGACCCTATCCATACGCCCTGGGGTTATTTTGTACCTACCTTCACATTTTAGACCTCTTTGAAACTTTCAGTATTTCTCAAAAAATCATTTTGACTGACTGTTATGCAAAGCGTACAGATCGGATTAACGAGTAAATTTCCTCTTTGGAAAGTGGTGGCACAGAGTTCCCCACGTCGTATGGATACGATAGTAAAACACGACATACTGACAGGGTTAAACTTGCACACCCGTCATACACTATGCCTGATGTTTCCTCAGATCACCAACATTGTGCAGCCGAGCCTGCCTCTGTTCCGTCAGATGTACAGCTCCTTCCTGCTGGAGGACGTCCACTCCACCTGGTGGCCGCAGGAGGGTCAGCTGGAGCAGGCCTTGACCTTCGAGTCTCGCCACCACCACCTCAAGTGTCTGCCCACCAAAGTGCTCTACGGGCTGCTCATGCAGAAGTACCAGGTAGGTGGCAGAGTGTCGTATGTACTTGTAGTGTCATGTCACTGTCATGTCACTGTCATGTCACAGCTCATGCAGAAGTACCAGGTAGGTGGCAGAGTGTCGTATGTACCTGTGTAGTGTCGTGTCACTGTCATGTCACAGCTCATGCAGAAGTACCAGGTAGGTGGCAGAGTGTTGTATGTACCTGTGTAGTGCCGTGTCACTGTCATGTCACAGCTCATGCAGAAGTACCAGGTAGGTGGCAGAGTGTTGTACGTACTTGTAATGTTATGTCACAGCACAGCACAAAGTACCAGGTACTAGAAGTATTCTTAAATGTGAAGAATACAACCCCGGGGTTACAAAATGACCCCAGGGCGTATGGATATGGTTAAGACGTTGTAAACATGAGGTCTTTTTGAAAGGAGACACTTAGTCCTAATATATATGGGCTCTTCACTGACAGGAAATCTTTCTAAAGATATTACAAAAGTAGTTTGTCTTCCTAGAATGACAGAAAAAGTAATAGCAGTTGTCCCATTTGCGGGTCTTTCATGTTGACAGGAGGAATGGGAGGGAGGGGGGGGGGGGGGGGGGGGGGGTGTGATGCTATGTTTACCAGGTTACCTAGATGATATGAAGTTCAAAATAAAAATGTTCTTGTTTAATCTGTATTTAGGGCTTCAGCCAAAGTTTTTGAAAGTCCAAACCAGGGATTGGATATTGCAGTCTCAATTAAGAACGTTGTCTACGAGAGATGTGTTACTGTGTGTACTCTGTTTTGAGACAAAATCGGAGATTATCTTTGCATGCCTATTGCTAGTTCAATGGATTTTTTTTTTGGGTCTTGAAGAAATCCTTTTTATATACCCTTATCAGTCAGTGTTTTCCATGAACTAGAGGTAGTAATTTTTGTACCTCAAGATAATTTTTGTTCTTGACCGAGAATAAATCAGTTTTATATGATCTTCAAAATCTGTGTTTTTCATGACTTGGAAAAATAATTTTTGTTTGTTTGAGTAAAGAGGAGCACAATGCCACAATGACTGTCCTCATATAGCATTGAGGAAAAGAAAATCAGACAGATCATAGAAACATAAGACAAAAAGTAAAGAAGTGGGACCTACTAGTGGCGGCCTCCAACCACCAACAAAGTCACTTTTTGTATGCCCAGATTGGTATTTTCCCAACCTGAAAGAAATCATTATTTGTATTTTGTGTCCCAGATAATGGCGTTCCCGACCTTGAAGGGATTGTTTTTTGTATCCCCAAATTGACGTTTTCCCAACTGTGAAGAAACCATTTTTTTCACCCAGATTGGTGTTTTCCAAATTGTGAAGAAACTACTATTTTTTGTATCCCCAGATTGGCGTTTTCCACATTGTGAAGAAACCATTTTTTGTATCCCCAGATTGGTGTTTTTCACATTGTGAAGAAACCATTTTTGTATCCCCAGATTGGTGTTTTCCACATTGTGAAGAAACCATTTTTGTATCCCCAGATTGGTGTTTTCCACATTGTGAAGAAACCATTTTTGTATCCCCAGATTGGTGTTTTCCACATTGTGAAGAAACCATTTTTTGTATCCCCAGATTGGTGTTTTCCACATTGTGAAGAAACCATTTTTTGTATCCCCAGATTGGTGTTTTCCACATTGTGAAGAAACCATTTTTGTATCCCCAGATTGGTGTTTTCCACATTGTGAAGAAACCATTTTTTGTATCCCCAGATTGGTGTTTTCCACATTGTGAAGAAACAAACCATTTTTTGTATCCCCAGATTGGTGTTTTCCACATTGTGAAGAAACCATTTTTGTATCCCCAGATTGGTGTTTTCCACATTGTGAAGAAACCATTTTTTGTATCCCCAGATTGGTGTTTTCCACATTGTGAAGAAACAAACCATTTTTTGTATCCCCAGATTGGTGTTTTTCCCGACCTGGAGGAGATCATCAAGCTGCACGCCTACGACTCGGACTGCGGCTCTCACGTGGCTCAGAGCATCCGGCACATCGTGAAGCGGTCCAGTGTGAGCCAGAGCCTGAAGGGAATCCTCACAGCTGGCGTGTTGAAGTCGCTGAGGTACTCGTCCAGTAAGATCCTCAAGAAGGTCAGAAGTAGGCGATGATGTCACTAACTTAGCTGACTAATGTCAGGCAGTGCGCGTGTCCAGGAGCGCGGTATGACAGACATACATATATATCTGTATGATGACGTAAGTGACCTATGACAGGAGTGACTGCCACGTGTGTCCGTGCGTTGTCGTCATCGCTGTGTGTGTGTGTGTGTGTGTGTGTCAGTGTCAAGACTTTCGTGCGACTTTCCTGTTTGGTACCACCGAAGTTTGGATGAGGGCAGGCAGAATTTTTCAGAGGGGACGCATCCTTTTTTTTTTACCCTATCCTTACGTCGTGTTTTACTATCGTATCCATACGACATGGGGGGAACTGTGCCACCACTTTTCGAAGAGGAAATTTACTTGTTAATACGATCCGTATGCTTTGCATAGCAGTCTGTCAAAATGATTTTTTGAGAAATACTGAAAGTTTCAAAGATATCTTCTAAAATGTAAAGAATACAACCCCGGGGGTACAAAATGACCCCAGGGCGCATGTAACGTTTGGTGGCTTTTATTTTTAAGTAGCAGATGTTGGCGGTGTGTGTGTGGTGGCAAATGCCAGTGGCGAACGTGTGGTGGGAGATGATAGAGTGGCACATGCGTGGCAGTAAATGCCAGTGGCGTATGTTTGGTGGCAAGTGCCAGCCACGTATGATGAGCAATGGCAGATGCTAGAGATGTGTGCGTGATGGCAGATGCCAGTGGCTTTATTGTTTATTGTGGTGAATGTGTGTGGCAGATGTCAGTGACACATAGACCTATGTGTAGTGGCAGATGCTAGTGACGTGTGTGTGATGGCAGGTGCCAGTGGTATAATTGTGATGTAGCCTATGTGTGGTAGCAGTTTTAGTTTTAGTAAGTGTTTTATGGCACTTGCAGCACAATAAGGTCATATAAGTGCCGAAGATTAGAGGTGTTGCAAGAGAGTAACAAACACAAAAAAGAAGGAGGGGAGATAAGGACGATAGACGTTTGATAGGAAAAAAGAAGCAAACCACACCAGAGCACCCACCAACCACTCACTGTGTGGTAGCAGATTGTTAGTTGTGTATGATGTATGTGTGTGGCAGATGTCAGTGACTCATACTCATAGACCTATGTGTAGTGGCAGATGCCAGTGACGTGTGTGTAATCTCAGGTGCCAGTGGCATAATTGTGATGTATGTATGGTAGCAGATGTTAGTTGTGTTTGATGTATATGTGTGTGGCAGATGTCGTTGTCAGTGACACATAAACCTGTGCATGGATGCCAGATCACTGAATTTTGAATGGTCCAAACAAGCTTTGCCGGAATCTCGCCGGCATCAATCGATTGCGATTTTTGCGATGCAAAAATAATTTTTGGCTTTCTTTTTATCATTTTGGCCTCTCGAGGCCAGTCTGACACGGACGTGACCAGAAGCTGAACTCCCACTTTCTGTTTCCGACCTGGCTTCTGGTGGTTTTGTTTAAAATTTACAAAAGTGATCGTGTCGATGTGAATCTCACTGTCGAAGAGAAGCATTAGAAATCTATCTGGATCTTTTATTTTTGTCTTTTATTTTATTCCAAGGTTTTTAAAAAAAGTATTTATTGACATTTTCTTTCCTCCCTTATTGGTTCAGAAGCAGAACAAATTAACCCTTTCAGCCCCAGCCATTTTTGTGCCCTTCCTTACCCCAGTCCCAGCCAATACCGCGGTATTTCAGAGAAACTGGCATGCATTCTAAAAAGTGATCTAGTATCTTTGTAATGAGGTTTAGGTAATAACATAGAACAGTGTTCAAAGGTAAATGAACGAATATTATGAAAATTACAGTTTGATTAGGTTCGCTAGTTTAGAAAAATGCGCAAAATTGGTACCTCCTGAAACTGAGAATATACGCTCTTGGGATGGTGGGAGGTACAAGCTCTGCTGAAAATATACGTGCTTGGGGCTGGAAGGGTTAATTTTGTTTGTTTCTAATAAACTTTCTATTTTGAAAGAGATGGTTTTAGGAGGCGGGAGGGGAGTGATAAGTTTGCAGGAATGTAAGAATTCAGGAAGTCGGTTGGCAGGAATCGGGCTGTTCAAACACTGGCATCCAAGGACCTGTGCGTAGTGGCAGGTGCCGGTGATGTACTTGTGATGACCAGCTGGGTGATAAAGGACTGTCATGCGGTGTGACTGTCTAGAAAATTGTACCAGCACAACTTTACTCACTTCATGCATCAGAATTCCTTTGAGTTACCCTCAGAATACTGAGTACTTATCTGTCATAACGCTAGTAAGTGTTTACAATTACTGTTCATTTATATTTATGCTTATGGCTGTGAGCCTGTTAGTGAGTGCAAGCACACTATTGTATTATTATAATGGTAATATGCACAGATATGTGTGGAAGGGAGGATGTGTGAGGGAAGACTGTGTGTGTACATGGGTGTGCACATGTTATGCGTGTGTGTGTGTGCATGTTTGTGTGTGTGTGTGTGTGTGTGTGTGTGTGTATATGGGTGTGCACATATTATGCATGTGTGTGCATGTTTGTGTGTGTGTGTGGGTGTGCATATGTTATGTGTGTGTGCATGTTTGTTTGTGTGTGTGTGTGTGGGTGGGTGTGCACATGTTATGTGTGTGTGCATGTTTGTTTGTGTGTGTGTGTGTGTGTGGGTGTGCACATGTTATGTGTGTGTGTGTGCATGTTTGTGTTTGTGTATATGGGTGTGCACATGTTATGCGTGTGTGTGTGCATGTTTGTGTGTGTGTGTGTGTGTGTGCATGTTTGTGTGTATGTGTACGTGTGCATGGCAAAACACCAAACCAATGTGCCAGGATCTGGACAGTAAAGATTTAATCTTATCTTTATCTCATTTTCGAATGGCATGTAATACGTTTTCTGATTTATTGTGTCATCTTTGAAAAAATGTGATTTTTCTTTTTGATTCATCTGAATGGCTCAGTGCAGGCCATTGTGAGAAATATTTTAGAAAAGGAGAAATAAAGTTTTTTCTTTGTGCTGTTCTTTTCTCCTTCCATTGTGAGTTTGTCATTATTCTAGCATCTGCGTTTGTCGCGGCCGCAACCGGCGATTTTCTGGCTTTTTTTTAGGGGGGTCCGTGAATTGCGGCCGCGATTTTTGCATTAAAAGAACAAAACAAAAAACTCAAAATTTTATTTTATTTTTTTTTAAATCTAACTGTTCTAATTTTTATTTCATTCTGCAGTGAAACCTTTCTTTTCCATGTTTTTACACTCTCTGTGTGGCTACAGATGATATTCTGGATGCTTAAAACAGAGCACAAGAAATTGTAGTGCTTTAATTAAGTTTCCTCTATCAACATATAGCTATTACCTCGTCACAGAGAGTTGAAAGCTTGAACATTAATGGCAACTTTTATAGCAACTTTTGTCTTTTTTTTTGGTGGCAACTTTTGGAAAAAAAAAATGGCAATAAACGCAGATGCTAGATTATTATTGTTGTTTTTGTTTGGTGTCCTGTGTGTGTGTGTGAGTGTGTGTTTATTTTGCTGCTGTGTATGTAAGTGTGTTCTGATATATGTCTGTTTGGTATAAATGCATGCATTTTAAATGTGCATGTGTATGTAGTATGCGTTGTGTATCATGCGTTGTGTGCGGGTGTGTATCAATGTTTCTTATGAACATTTTGTGTACCTGTTGTGTATACCAGTATTTTATAGACCTACACGTAAGAAATACATTATCTATCTTTGCATCTGTGCATATGTGTGTGTGTGTGCCTAAAGAAAGGTACAAAACGTCGCCACAGAGAATTTTGAGCTTCAAGCTGATACTGATACTGATAATGACCACAAAAAAAAAAAACTTTTTTTACCAAAATGTGTTTCCATAAAAAAAATGATAGTTCCACCATTTTCTAACAATGTGTTAAAAGGGTTTTCATTGATTTGACTTCTAAATATTTTATTTTGAATAATTTTGAGATTAGGGTATTTTTACTTTTTAAAGATATAACGAAAACTGCTTTAAGAAGGTGTTAAATAAAGTATATTCTTGAAGAACGTTTTTTCTCTTCCCTGCTATGTTTTACCATTGAATTCTAATCATGATATTGATGTCAACTGAATGCCAAATTGGAAATGAATTTTCCTTGAATTTTAGAAACAATTGAATCATTGTTTTTTTTCAAGTTTGTAAGTGTCCTAAACTTAAAACTAAAAGCTAATTTTCTCAAAATTAGATCTTTATACCCTACCTCACAAAATGTGCAATATCTAAAAAAACTACTTGATATATCTCAAAAATTCAAAAACCACTGTGTTCAGCATTAAATTTTCTATAAGGAGCAACCCTTAACTCAAAATGGTCAAAATCCGACTTTTCGTACCTTTCTTTTGGCACACACACACACATGTATATTAACAGACATTTTATCTAGGTATGAAGGCAAAAGCTAAAGGCATTGTAAGACCAAGAGCTGCTGGAGACAAACATTTCTTTACTGAAAACCTGCATGCTGTCATCACAGACATGAAAAAGCACGGTCCACTGATCCTAAATAGCATCATTCTTATAACAATGGATTGGGGGGAAGGGAGTCATCTTTCTACCAAGCAAATAGTACATACGTCATGTTGTAAATAATAAATAAGAATATGTCACATAGCAGCTTAAACACCAACTAATCTCACTTTCTGTACCAGTTCTTCATCTCCTAGTTCTCAGAGTAACAATGGACTGACTAGTGTATTCGAGTCTTAAATTAAATAAAGAGAAGCACATTGATACAATAATGGTCATCTGGTGCAAGTTTTAAGCAGTAACATAGACAGAAAGAAACAATAGGTAAGGTAAACAGTATGACCTACCAGTGGCAACCTCTAACCACATGTAAAACAGAGGCTGGAGAAGCTTAAGCATCACTTTCCCTCACTCTTTTCGTATGATTTGCATTACTTTGTGATAAAATAGCATGGTACATACATTGCTAACATTTTACAGCACTTGCAACACAATTAGGTCATATAAGTGTTGAAGATTAGAGGTGCTACAAGAGAGTAACAAACACAAAAAAGAATGAGAGATAAGGACAATAGATATTTGATAGGAAAGCAGGAGCAAACCACACCAGAGCACCTGCCAACCACCCACAGTACATAGACTTGATACCAAATCATGTTTTATTACGTGACAAAATAACACAGTCATTACATTCCAAAGGACACATCTCACTCTGTGACACGATACATACATGTCATAAGGACAATACATACATGTCATAAGGACAATACATACATGTCATAAAGACTATACATCATTCCACAAGAGCCTAAGTAAATTTTTTTTGAAGTTTTGAGAACATTAAATAAAAAGAGAGCTCCGAAATCAAAACCATGACTTGGGCACTTATTTTTTTAATTAAAAACTGGAATCAAATAATAGAATGGAACATTGGAAGATGCCCACTAATGCCTTTATTAAAATTCCGGTTTTATCTGTAAAACCCCAGAAATTGATTAGGGGGATAGGCGAAAGATGCTGATGATAAACCAAATGAATAGTCTTACGGTGCCACAAAACAATACTTGGGGGCTCTCATGGTCTAGAGATTAAGGGGTTCGCCTCTCATATTAGGTCCTGGGTTTGAAACTGGAGAACGACAGAAAATTTTCTTCTCCAAAATATTCTCCTTTCTTCATCCTTTCCTGCTCTCTAACAATGTTCTGTCGTCCGCTTTCGTCTCCACTTTCTGCCCCCACCCCTTCACCTTCTTTGCCCCCTCCTCTGGGCTCCTGACTCTTTCTGCAGCCATTCTACTGCTTCTCCATGGCTTCTTCTTACTACTGTCTTTCAGCCACACCCCAGATCTTATGGTAGGTAAGATCTACACCTGGCCTTCACAGATAAGGGCGAAAAATCTCAGGGGTCCTGTGTGCAAGTTGGGCACATTAAAGAGCCGTTGGTGGTCCAAATTGATAAGAGTAGACTTCGGCTGCCACTTTGGCAAAATTCTTAATTTCCTACCAACTGAAAATTTAATTAATGTGTCCCACTCACTCGTTTGACTTTGACCTAATGCTGTTGCAAGCGCCGTAAAACTCTTACCAAAAAAAAACAAAAACCCCAAAGACTTGCAACAAAACAAAGTACAACACACATTATATCCCAAATCTGCCCCCGCGGTTTTATGCACCCCACAGAATTTAGCTAAATTTGATCATTTTTTGCGTAATTTCTGATTATTTTCCTTTATCATTCTTTGTTAAAATTAACAGAATCGCATAATTTCACATTTTTGGGCTCAGTTTGCATAATTTCAGAATTTTTTTTTCATAAACCCGCTGGGAACAGCCAAATACACAGTGATCTCTGCCTAAAAACCCAATGGTCAGAAGACAGAAATAGCGGGTCCTTCGGTGGACCGGCTACTTGCCCAAATTTCCAAGGCTCAACTCAGTTTCTACACACCGACTTAACTTGTTCATTCTAATTGATTCTAGGAAGAAATGATGACCAATGGCGATACGGACGTCCAAGAGAACACAGGTTTGCTTTTCTTTTTTTCCGTTTTCGTAAGAGTTTTACCGCACTTGTAACACAATAAGGTCATTAACTCACTTCAGACGGGTCACACAACAGTTGCGTGACCCCCGCCACGACGCTCGCGACGGGTCTCACAAGCCCTGCGTGACCAACTTTGGAATTTTTTTTCCGTTCTACAAATCACGCACGGATCGCGAGACCCGCCTCGTACCCTTGTTTGGCCAAGCCTGAGCTACTTAGACTTCGTTTCGTATCTCTGGGGCTGGTAGTTTTTAAGTTATTGAAGGTGAAGGACAGTAACCCCAACTGGGGTTGAACAGACCGGAACTCGCGCTTTGTTTTTTTCTATACAGCTGATAGTAATCCGACAGTCGCGTCGTAGTAACGGTCGAAGAAGTCGCATGTACAAGAATCACATAATTTCGCCGTTTTCTATACTTCTGTGCGTTTTACTAGTTCTAGTGTCTCAGAATATGATGAGTTTAATAGTTAGGATCCTGGATATGTACCCGAACACGGCCAGAGTCAGTTCTAGGGCTAGATCTAGCACTAGTACCAGTGTTGTTTTTCGCGCAACGAAATCACGACGTCGTGCCGTACATCTGTCTCATGTAATTCAGTGTATGGGTCTGAATCAATGCACAGACCAGCTTTTATATTTTCACCAAACACTCGCACATGTATACAAATCAAACCAGAACACTTTGAACTTTTATTTTTGTTGTTGCAGTGAATTTCATTCTACTTGTCACGTCTTTGGAAATTTTTCGGAAAATCAAATTCATGCCAATTTTTAAAAAATCATACAAATTAAAGTATTAGACTTAGACAACTTTAGTTTTTTGTATTAAATTAAGCTTGAATGTTACTTTACTGTGTCAAAAAATGATTACAATAGGGTAATTCTGAGAGTTGTGGTGATTTATTGAAATACCCCCAAAAACGCCAGTCTTCAACGCTTGTGACTGGTGAAAGGGCCCAGTCGCAAGTGAGTTAAGTGCCGAAGATTAGAGATGTTACAAGGGAGTAACAAGCACAAAAAAAGGAGGAGAGAGAGAAGGACAATAGTTTTTTATAGGAAAGAAGGAGCAAACCACACCAGACCACCCGCCACCCACCCACCTCTTGCACCACAAGTGAAGATGCTTTATAACCTAACTCAAAAAACAAAATATGAGAGGTGAGGAACATGCCCATTCAGTCTAGCCTATGTAAAAGTTAAAGTAAAGTTGTTCCTGCATCTGATCCAGACATTGGGAATTGCCCTGTTTATGTTAGTGAGACAACTTTCTGGGGCCTTCGGCACATTGTGGTAGGGTGGCCAGTTCCTTTCTACGCCGCCTTTATTTCCCCAACTCAAAGTGAGGTACCCATTACTGCTGGGTGGGCAGGAGGGGGCTTCCGAGACGAGCGCACTAACCGCTCCAATGACATAGGCATTAAATAAGGCACTTTGCTGCTTTGAAACTTTGAACACAAAACATCATACAAATACTTGAATATACAGCTAAGTGACTGTATATAATTTCACTGACTTGAAGCAAACTACACCAAAACACCTGCCAACCACCCATAGAGTCTGTGACATCACTGACTGGAGATAAAGAGACACAATACAGAGTATGATCTGAGACGTCACCGGCATATGACCTGTGAGTGATGTCACTGACATTTAACCTGTGAGGTCACTGACAAATGACCGGTGATGTCACTGACAAATGGCATGTGACATCAGTGACAAATGACATGGGACATCAGTGACTAATGACATGGGACATCAGTGACTAATGATATGCGGTGTCACTGACAAAAGACATGTGATATCAGTGACAAATGACTGGTGACATCACTGACAAATGACATGTGACATCAGTGACAAATGACATGTGACATCACTGACAAATGACATGTGACATCACTGACAAATGACATGTGACATCACTGACAAATGACATGTGACATCACTGACAAATGACATGTGACATCACTGACAAATGACATGTGACATCACTGACAAATGACATGTGACATCACTGACAAATGACGTGTGACATCACTGACAAATGACGTGTGACATCACTGACAAATGACACGTGACATCAGTGACAAACGACCGGTGACGTCACTGACTGGAGATAAGCGACACAATACAGTGTATGATCTGACTGCCCCGAGGGCACGTGCTGAGGTCGGTGTCGGGGTTGGAGATTTTGTCTTCCAGTAGCTGGTCCATCTCTCGCCGCAACTCTCGCAACAGCTCCGCTACCTGAACACACGGACAAGACACACTCAGTTTTAGTAAGTGTTTTACGGCACTTGCAACACAATAAGGTCATATAAGTGCCGAAGATTAGAGGTGTTGCAAGAGAGTAACAAACACTACAAAGAAGGAGGGGAGATAAGGATGATAGGTGTTTGATAGGAAAGAAGGAGCAAACCACACAGAGGCACCCACCAACCACCCACATACAAAGTTTTGTGGGTATAGGTAAATGCATAAATGAGCTAGAATTTTTTAAACGCTGACAGACGAGAGTGAACAAGCTATACTATAAGTACCCTCAAAAGTAGGTAATGTTATAAAAACAACATTTTGAGGCTTCAGTTAGTGTTTACTGAATCAACGTTATAAAAAAATACAAGATTGACATTTTTTCCCCCCCGACCACATGTGGATTTGATCTATTCTTTGGTTTTTTCAAAGAAGTTTAGATCTGTGTTTACCATGTTCATCAAAAAACACAAAAATGTTTTAGTTTTTAGTTTTAGTAAGTGTTTTACGGCCCTTGCAACACAAAAAGGTCATATAAGTGCCGAAGATTAGAGGTGATACAAGAGAGTAACAAACATAAAAAAGGAGGAGAGATAAAGATGATAGGAAAGAAGAAGCAAACACATCAGAGCAACCGCCAACCATCCACAGTTTAGATCTGTCTACTGTGTTTATAAAAAAACACAAAAATATTTGATCATTGTCACCCAAGAAAGACAGTAGATTGAACTCCACATCAGAAAAACCGAGCCATACAGTATCACACAGCATGCTTCGAGTTCTGCTGTTGCCATCACATTCAACGTCAACAAAAAAACAGACACACAAACTCAACAGAAAAACAGACAAACCAACACAACAGAAAAGCAGACCAACAAACTCAACAGAAAACAGAAAAACAGACACACAAACTCAACAGAAAAACAGACACACAAACTA